TCCTCTTAGCGTCCAATAAATCAATTAATGCAGGTTTACGGTAAAAGGATGAACTCTTTTTTCATCCATGGATACCAGTCAATATACAGCATCTTACCCCAGTTAGTTTCATACTTATGTTACCTCAACTCAAGGTTGCATGTTGAGTTGCAGCCTTGACACTAACAAGCACGCAGTTAGAATGATGTACAGTGGCTTCAGAAAGTACTAGATTTAAAAAGTAGATTTAATTTAAATTGCTAAAAAATACAATTTCTGCCCATAAATCTAAAGTCATCTAAAAAGTATTCATAAGCCTTGCTGTGGCATCCCAAATTGTGGTCAGGTGCATCCTTATTTGCTTTAATTATCCTTGAGATGTGTCCAGAATTTGATTAGTCCACTTGTGGTAAATTGAGATGGACGCTGGCTTGGAGTTTGCCAAACGGCATTTAAAGGGCCCTGAGAGCATGAGGGAAATGATTCTCTGGTCTGATGAGAGAAAAACTCTTTGGGCAGAATTCCAAGCACTATGTCAGTCAGACACAAGGCACTGTTCATCACCTGGCTAATGCCATCCCTACAGTGAAGCATGGTGGTGGCAACATGAGACCATTCGGATGCTTCTCAGCAGCAGGGACAGAGAGACTGGTCAGAATTGAGGGAAAAAATAATGCAACCAAATACAGAGAGGTCCTCGAAGGAAACCTGAGTGCACACAACCACTGAATGGGGCGACAGTTCATCTTTCAGCATGATAATGACCCGAAGCATGCAGCCAAGACAATGCTGGAGTGGCTTCGGGACAAGTCTCTGACTGTCCTTGAGTGGCCGAGCCAAAAGTCCAAACTTAAATCTCGTAGGACATCTGTGCAGAGACCCGAAGTTGGCATTTCACACTTCCAATCTGATGGAGCTTGAGAGGATCTGCCAAGAAGAGTAGGATAAACATCCCAAATCCAGGTGTGCAAAGCTTATAGGGACTAAACTCATAATAAATTCATAAAAACATGTTTGCACTTTGTCATTATGGGCTAAAAATAGACATAAAACTTTAAACTTAAATCTACAACACAATAAAGTCGGAGTAGGGTCTGGATACTGCCACTTTGCACTAGCTAAGTTTAGCAAGTTCAAGATCTCTACATTCAATGACTTCAGAAGATTCAGAGCTACATTGTGGATCCAGCAAACATGTTACAGAAGTAAACATAGTGTGATAATTTCTTTTTCCTTGATGAACACAGACTCAGGTGATTGCTGGAAATGTCTAATTTCTTTCTATACTGTACATTTGAAAAAAATCACTAGCTTGAATGTAGCTCCCAACTGGTCACATTTCATTTTGCTTACTCTCTGTCTATCCCGGATGTATTCTTTCCCCTGAAAGTAGCCATCTCCTTGAGTACCAACATCTGAAATGATCTTTCCCCACCCTAAGGATCAATATTAGGGCTTTTCCATTAGCACTTTTGGCCACGCCTAGTCAGATCATGTCATGTTGCTTTGCAATTCCTTTACGACTTTTTACGCACCCGAGATGGACCTTCGCCGAAGACGTGCCAAAGCCCATGAAGTTCTTCTCCCCCTTAAAATACATGCAAGACTCAACTCCTGTACAGGAGAGCAGAGAGCTACAGAGAGAGTCGTGTAAAGTTACTGCTGATAAAAAAAAAACAACACTTCCTGGTTTTGCTGCTTCATAATAAAACAGTTTAGATAACAAAATAACCAGAGACTTTTATTGTGAAGAATTTATCAGAAAGCAAATCCCTGCCGTGCTGGGCTGGAGCGCCGAGTTAAACCTAGTTGAGCCAAGCCAGCACATATATGTAGAAAAACACCATATGACGAGCCTGGACATCTAGATCTAGATATTGGAACTGTTGTTCCTTCATTTTAAAGAGGTACTGGCATCTGATTAGGACTCCTCTTTTACACCTCCTTGTAAAAGTATTCTGGGCCTGGAAGAAAGACCCAGTGGAACCTGCTGGATAGACTGTATATCTCATCTGGCCCATAAACAACTTGGGCCCCCGGGGGGGGGGTGCCTGGAATACTTTGATCAAGGCTGAAGTATGCAAGAAACGAATTCGTCATGTCGTCAAGGGTTAATAGGTGTTCTGAATGATAGGGTGAAAGGTTGATGCTGTAGGAAGTGATAAGACGCACTGACCTCTTCAAATGGGAATGAGTGCACACACTTTCTCCCTTTATGGTGTTGCACTTGGTTGTACACTTGTGATAGGAGTAACTGTGTGAAGAAGCAAAAAAGGGAGCTAGAGAGAGATGTTCAGACCCTTTGACTTCCACACATCATCATCAAGTGCTACGAGAAGTGTTTGTCAGATTTTCACTTTTGGAAAGTCAGATATCGATCTGTGAAGCACTTCGGCTGAAGCATTCTGACCCCTTCAAGCTGCTATCACTGTGACAAAGACTTAAATAAGCGCCAGAAAATTGATGGAAGAAGGGATGGATAGATGTCTTAAAATAATCTTTCAAAACGAGTGCCATTGAACTAATACTATACTTGTCACTTTCCTATTGTTTAACCAGTATTCCTTTCCACTCCCTGACACCAGAGTCCTTTACTGGATTTTTAGGACTGTCAAATTCATGGACTTCACGTTGTGTTTATTTGGAGTGAAGTGTTCCCAAAAAATGGGGAATAAAATTGTTTGTGTTTCCTCTCTGTCCCATCCTTGGCGAGAGTCTTAAAGGTGACAAGGCTTGTCAGCGCCTGAGCTTTCATATGCTCCAGTTGTCGGGCCATATCTGACATCTCCCTGTCACCTCAGTGAAAGCATGGAAGGAAGTGATAACCAGGCCGAGCCGCTGCAGTCTCTCTCTTAGGAGCCCAGATATTTTGGCGCTGGATTGGGGAGACTGTTTTGTGGAACACTGAGATAGCGAGTGCTGCCTCGGAGGAAGCTCATCTGTCAACTGGATACGGGGAATCAGACTGTGACAATGAGGTGTTAAAAAGGTGACAGTGAGGAATCCCTGCCAATGGCATACAACATCCCGGGGCCGGCCATCTGCTGAGGCTGCTCTGAGTTTTAATAGTGAGGCTGATCTTTGAAGGGTCAGGGCAGGTTGTGTCGCATGTAGGTATTATCATTTCCTATTGAGTGAATGCTACAGGGCTTGGCAGTGGTGGCTGGGTGTCTAAGAGGAATCATGGGAGTCTTGTTCAAAACACGACTTCTCTGATGGTAAAGCTTAAGTATTTAAAGCTGCAGGTAATTTTTATACAAATACGTTTTTGTGATTTTCTTTTTTTTTTTTTTTTGTTTGCTGAAAGTTTCACGATATCCTGACAGTACAATATGAGACAGATAATCTGTGAAAATATCAGGTTCCTCTGGCTCCTCCTAGTGCCCCTAATTGCATTTGCAAGAATTCGCCAGGCCTGAACAAAAACAACCAATCAGAGGCAATCACAGATTATCTGTCTAATGTCCTACTGTAAGGTTATAGTTAAAGTTTCAGCAAATATAACAAATGTTTCCCAAACTTTTTCTAACCCTAACCATGGCGATCCAGTTCACAGCTTTTTCTGCATCACGTCATATTTTCTTGAACAGGTAAAGCAGCCATTTTGAAGAGATAAACATCAGATAATTCATCATCAGTAAAGCAAAACACATTTTAAATACTTTAAAAATAATTACATTTAGCAGGAGGAAGAAATTCTGCACATTTATTTGCGACCAAAATAATATCTCCCTCCATTCATTCCCAGAGACTGTCTCTGAGAATGACTGCTCTAATGCATCAGGGGGAAAAGCTGTATGTGTTGTTTTTGTGTTCACTGTGGCAGTAGGGCGTTCTTTCCGTCCATTATCTGTCCTATCACATGAAAGTTGAGGCTATTTCATCAATTAATCTACGCTGTGTTTTAGGAGAAGAGAAAGACCCAACAGTACAGCAAATGGGTTTTTTTTCTCCTGCTGTGGCAGAATCACCAATCTGTGGATGAGATTGAATGATTTTCACTCTGCAGCTAACGCAGGCCCCATTTCTCACTTATAGAGAGTCAGGAAATTGCACCTGAAGAGGACCAATCAGAATGTCCCCCTGGGTGTTCAGGATGAAGCCTGAAGATACACAGGCAACCTGCAGCTATAAAAAGAAGTAATACACGCCACAGCATCAGAGCTTTAATGGGAAAATAAAAGAATTGGCTTGGTAGCAACCACATTAAACCGAGTTTGATAGAAGAAATCACCAAGGCTCCATTTGTTTTCTCTCCTCTGCTGCAAACTGACATGGGGGGCCTATTAAGATATTATTCTTGCTTTTTTTTTAAGAAATTATATTCTGTTGTACAAAAACAGTTTGTTCACCCGTGTGGCTTATTGTTTTGTTCGGTGTCTGGGCCAGAAATTGTGGAGTGGAGTGTTACAAATCCCCACCCAGATCACTGAGAGGCTGTGTTTTAATTTGATGTGCATGATTAGTAAGCCTGATTGACAAAAATGTTTAGCGGACCACGAGCGGCATTCAATTAAGTCACATCGGAGCAAAGATGGGCTGTTTTTCGGGGCTTTAATTTGGCAGTCACTTCCTGTCTTTTTTGAATTCCTTCAAGTAAGTGGCATGTTATTAGGATAATGATGGGTGTTAATCTATTACTGTCCAATGTGCGTGTTCAGAGCCTGCCTCAAGCATACATTGACATACATAAATATGCAGTAAAAGGTTGCTCATTCAAAGGTATTTGATGAATACGGCATGTTTTCCTGTGGTTGCACACAGATATGGTCCTGTGCCATGTTTGTCCATATGTGGGTTTCTGTTAACATGCATGTGTGTGTGTGTGTGTGTGTGTGCGGATGTTTACCGTGTACGCTTTGCACATGTGATGTACTTTGTGTGCTGCACACATGAGCATACAAGGCCTCGATGTGTTTGCTGTTTGTGTGCTCAGTCTTTTGTTTGTATAGCATGTGTTTTTTCTTTCCACTCTGTGCAGTGAGTGAGCACTGTGTCCTCCCTCCCCCCTCCGGTCCCAGGTACTCATTCCAGGATGAAGAGGACATGTTTATGGTGGTGGACCTCCTGCTGGGAGGAGATCTGCGCTACCACCTGCAGCAGAGTGTCCAGTTCAGCGAGGACGCTGTCAAACTCTACCTCTGTGAGATGACGCTGGCACTTGACTACCTGCAGAGCCAGCACATCATCCATAGGTATACTTTTTTATCTTTTTCTTTTTATCTTTACCTTTTGAGGATACCTGTAAAGAAACATGTCTTTCCTGGCTTCACTGTCGACAGCCCAAAAAGAAAAAAATAACTAAAATAATTCATAAAAAAACTAACTTAGAAGTTTATTTGCTTTAGGCTGTTTTGGACTTACCTTTACCTGCTGTCACATTATGTTCATGTGAATTACAATAAGGATTAATGCAGCTTTAACTTTTATCTAAAAAAATTCTTGATCTGTTTTGTAGATAAAAGTCATGGTTGCATGTTTTTTTCAGGTCCTTGGTGTATTAGTTTTACACTGAATAAAATGACTTAAACATTGAATACAATGACACTCCCACTGTGCGACCAGATGCCTTACTTTCTGGGTTTTGATTCAATCTTCAAAACATCAGATCAGAGAGAGAGACGCATTAAACTCCCAAATATGCACATTGAAGTGTTTATATCCACAATGCTTACACAATGCTCTCCAAATACACCCGAAGCACTAGTGTCAGCCAATTACATCATCATACATACTGTTTCATCAAATAAAGGCTATAGTCTCTGCTGCACTGAAACTCAAGGTTGTGTCTGTGACTTTTAGTATTCACAAGGCTTTGTTCATTGTGTTCTGCTTCTCAAGCTCGCAGCATTGTTATTGGTGATTTATGAATGTAATTGTCTACTCTTCAGACTGGAACTCAAACACCAAAATGAATTTGAGTAAAAGTTTTCTTTACATCGGGAGTTATGCATTATCTCCTCTCTACTACTAACGTTACAGCAATCATCTTTTTCCTTTGTGTAAGCAGAACCACAAAGTCACAGTGCCTTTCTAACTTGCTTTATATGCAGTTCTTGGGGATCTAAACATGACTCAAGTGTCTCAGTATAGATATTTTTTTATTTACGCCCACCTTCATCCTTCCTGTTGAGCTCATCTGCTTGCACTTTGACCTCACTGGTCAGGACTACATCCTGTCAGATGACACTACATTATCATGTTTTTATTTTGGGTAGTGTGCCCTATATGTTTTTGGGGTTTTTTTGCACCATTTTTGACCTACTGTTGTATCCATGCACTCACTATCACAGTATAGCAGGGTGTCCTGGAATAGCTGGAACTTTAGAGACTAGTTCTCAAGTCATGGAAACACCACGAAATTGATAAAAATGACCAAATGTCCTGGAAACAATCTATGTTTTCCTGGAAATTTGTGATTGTACTTCAGCCCCTCACTCAGATTGGCTAAACCTATGTTTGTAATTAGTTAAAACTCGATGGTTGGTAGGATGAGCTGCGCTGTATGACACTTCAAAGTGGTACAGAAAAACGCTCCCTTTTCTTTTCTGCTCACAGTGTCAATCAACAGCTGTTCAAACCACTTTTCCCAAAAAGTCTGTTTTGGAAATGTTGTATGGTGATATCTACATGTACACAGCCTATTAATGATCAAATTTACATCTGTTGTCGTAGCTGATAAATACATGCAGTGATGTTAATTGTACATGCAACACTTTCACTTTCTACCTCTTCTTTTAATAGGCTGATAGGTGAGAAGATTTCCAATAAGATAAACTGCACTTTTATTGATTCTCTAAATTTTGATTTGAATTGTTATTTATGGGCCGAATTAATGTTACAGTTAGATGAAGATTGTAGTCAATTTACCAGAGGCCATAGCTTCACTCAGTTGACTGTGGTGAGAAGTTAACATCTCATAAACGCTGGTAGTGAGCAAGTGCTGTCCTGTTGTCAAGAAAATCCCCTGGAAAATGTCCATGAAAAGTCCTGGAAAATGATGTGGGAAAGTGGAAACCCTGTATAGGGAAGAATGTGTTTGTTATCCTCTGTTTAGAAGTCCGAATGTGTTTTTAAGAGTAATTAAGATGCAACATAATGGAACATAAAAGTAGAGATAGTATTATTATAGAAAATATACTGCACATGTAAAAGGAGCCTTATGTAAGCACACTGTCTTCGGGCTGTTCATATATTCAGTCTTGGTGTGGGCTGAAGGTGTTACCTTACAGGCATTTGGGCATCCCTGTTTTTATTTACGTTACTTTACATATATAAAGATAGCCCTCATGTGTTTTCCCATAATTGTTACCATCCATCATCTTCAACCAGGGTGGACTCGCTGCCATCCGCAGCTTTTTGTCTGAATATGCTGAGCACAGCAGTTTGTGTCCGTGCAGTCCAGTAAGTGGAGGAGCCGGATCCCTGCAGACTCTAGATTTAGTGCCACAGATGGCTTAAAAACTGTTTGAACCTTGTTCAAAACCTCATTGGGGCTACATTTCTTCCTTCAAACAACAATATACTGTCTGTGTGTGTATGACTGTGTGTGTATATCTAGGGTTTTCTGACGTTCAGGCACTAAGCAATGAATGAAGCATCTTGCCTGCAAATTATTACATTTTAAGTATTTTACAGAATTAAACAAACAGTAAAGAAATTCAAAGTGTTTAAGAGCAACTTGCAGGTTTTCAGATGTAGAAACGACTACTTCTACTACTACTATTGACTAAAAAACAGCTACTAGCATCTCTCAAGCTCTAAAATTAAGACATTATATCTTCTTTACTTAAACCATATAAAAATGGGAAAATGGGAATAAGCGTCGAGTTGCGTGTTTTTACTGGGGGGTTATGTGCTGAACCATTTTCTTGGCGAGGAGCAGTAACTACCTAGGATGTCCGCTGGTTGCCTGGCAACCTCACCGTGACAACTCCATCTAGACTCACTGATAGTTTGGTGGTATTGATCTTTTCAACTAACAAGAAAGCGTAAGAGTGTGTGTATGTTCTTAATTAAAAGCAAGACTCTTATAAATAATATACTGTATACATTAGGCATCAAATACAGGATATACTGTGGAGAGAAATATACAAATGCACATACAGTAGGTGTGTTTACATTAAGCTGTTTGTGTGTATGTGTGCACCTAAATGTGTTACTATACAGATTCACTATCATATCATAATTTTCATGCATTATATAACATTACAAGCGTGTGTGATGCTATGTAATTTCATCAAGTCAATAACTCTCCCACGTTTCACTACATGACAGGTAGGCAGTGTCCTCCTTTCCTCGTCGTTGACAAAGACATTTATAGAGCCACCATTAGAAATAGGTGACAGATGCTGCTTATCTTTGTTTTTTCACCCTCTTCTTGACATCAACTGTTCTGCCTTTGACACAATTGTGTCTGCTCTCAGAGCCGTAATCCAATCCCTGAGTATCCATGGCCGTCCCTAGCTCTACAATTTTGTTCCACCCTGTAAGTTTTTGACAGGAGAATACTATACAATTATTTTGTTGCACCAACTGAAGGAAGAAGGGTCTCTGGTCTCCTAGCAACAGTCAGCTGCCACCATGCCCAAGGAGGTAAAATTGGTCCTATGAGAAGAAGGGAAGTAAAAGTGGAGAGTCCTTTTTCTCTTGTCTTCTTTTGTCCGCTTCGTCTCTCAGCAGACCACCAGGTAGCTTCATTTATCCTCATCATATAGACTCAACATCTTAAAACTGCCAGCTGTTAGATCACCTCACGCAGGCGGTTTGTTCCTGTGAAATAAGACTTCCCTTTACATGCTGTTTCATGTTGGATTGGTGTTTCTGAGCTTTCTGCAAAATGAATTAAACGTTAAGTGAATTTTGTACTTCAAACAAAATGGCACGGCGCTTCAGCCGGCACTCCTCCTGTGAACATGCATGTATTTCCCTCCAGCTTTGTACTGCTGGATCACTCCGACCCCCCAACACCACCTCCACCACTCCCCTCAAAGAGTTTTGGCAGATGATATTAGCATCAGCTTAGCTTTGCATAGTCACAGTCCTATGGGAAGTGTAGATGCTCTCTGTGGGCTACGTGTATTCTCCACACCAGCGTGACGTGCGGCATAATTAAATAAGCTGTGTGCGCTCTGTTAATTGCCTGTGGAGGGCAATGTGGAGGAAATGTTGAGACGTGTACGGATGTGAGTGTGTGCCTGAATGTGTCTCCGCTGCATGGGCGCCCAGTGTAATAAGCAAGTGCAGACAAACCTGTGAGAGCCTCCAGGGGGAACCGCTGATGGTCGTGTTCTCATGCGCCCCGGCAGCGTTTGAGATGTAGGGAATGAGAATTTTCTCCGTCTCGTTCTCTCACTGAACACACACACACTTAACATGTTGCACCAACATGTAATTCACACATGCATCAGCACTCCAACCACCTCCTACAGATTTTCACATCCACACACACTGCACAAATTTAATCCCAGTCTGTCCCACCTGACTACAAATTAAATGACCCGAGGCACTGTAAGAGTATGTGTTTGTGATTTAATTATAGGAACAATTAAGCATTTTGCAAATGCCCTGAAACTGAAACACTTTTACTAACAAACAATTCAATAAGTGTGTTTTAATCCACGTTTTTATTATATTTATTCATAAAAACTCTACATTAAAAAAATGGAACTTTGTAATAAATATCACAACAAAGTTTTTACACTTGACTGAGGTGGAAAAGTTGGTGTATTGACAAAAACAAAATGTCACAGTACACTGGAAACAGACGTTGTAAATAAATCATGAGTGAAACGTCTACAAAAGAAACTGGCGACTGCAAAGTTCCTCAAATGAATATATGAAATAAACAGAAGGGCCATATTTACATCATGTTTTATTTATTTTATTGTATTTGTTTGTTGATTCAATTAAGCAGGGACAGTGCACGTTAATAAAACATTGCTGGAAATGTGCCATTAGCCAAGAGGCTATTTCTGATCTGTAGTCCCTGGACAGATGTTCTAAAGTCAGAATGTAAAGATTGTAATTCCAAAGTCAAATTATTTATAAGCATGCAAAACAATAATGCAATTTAAAGAAAACAGAAATAGATGCATCATTGAACTTCAGGTACTATTAAAAACAACCTTCAACATGCAACACATTTTCAACATTGTTTTCAACCATTTGTTTAACTAGTTTAACTAGTTTTTTCAATTACATCTTCTGTTACATGCTCTTGTTTTACAATGTTTTAACAGTGGATGTAAACACTTACTAATCTGCTTAAAATGTGCACTAAGTTTGAAAGGAAACCTGACTAATGTTTGCAATGCTTATGATTAAAATGAGGTTGCTCTTCTGTATTACATGACACATTTTTTGATATGTGTCTGTTTTGTCTCCTTTAGAGATGTCAAGCCAGACAATATCCTGTTGGATGAGCAAGGTAAGCGTGTGTTTGCTTTGTGTATAACTGCATGCAGAGATGAGATAAAAATGCTCAGCATTTATTTTAGCCTACTTGGATATGAAGGGAAATTAAACCTTTGAACATATTTCTTGGAACTGGTCTCATTCATATTTATCTGATAGAACAGAGGCCATCAGTACAGTACTGATGGTCTCACATCAACCTCTCTTTTCATAACGTAAGAGAGTACCCCAAGGTTCTGTACTCGGTCCATTTTTATTTTCAATATACATAAACAATATTATTACTCCAACACAGACTTATAACATAAATTTAGCTTGTAGCAAAATGTACGCTCATTGCTTCTTCAGACATTTCTGCAGAACCTCAAACTTTTACTGAATGCTGATAGGACATACACATACATACACACATAATACATAATACACACTCATAACCTTACTTCCTTCTATACATCTCAAATGTCAAATGACCTACCGTTATTCAACCCACTGGTTTGTGGAGTACTCACAGTACGTATCTGTTTTACTCTTAATGAGACCAGAATTTACTAAATGAACATCATGCTGTATGGAAGAAGACTGAAACTATATGTCCACTATATTGTAAATGATCCATACACATTCCACCTTAAAACAACTCGATGCAGTTTACCACTTTTGTCACTTCCAATAACCAATTATCATCACTATCATTTTTGTCTCCTACTAAAGCTGCCGCAGTGTATTACATCTCCTCTCAAATTTATAAATACTTTTCTCTAACTGACTAATTCTTGATACCCAACCAGGAAACACTGAAGTTGGGAAGACTTCCAGCTTTTATATTTATAAATTACCTTTCAAAATCTTGGCCCTTTTTGGGGATGTTTTTTATTGTTTCTTATGCTGTTTGTATGTGCTGGTTGTGTGACTTATCTGTCTGTATTTCTTCTGCTGTAATCAGGTTTTCTTGCAAAACAGATCTTAATCTCAATGAGATTACCTGATTAAATAAAGGTTAAATATAAAAATGTCCATAAAAAATCCTTTCAGTTTAAGCCCTGACATCTACCTCTAAGTGTATAGTTATGTTTATCAGAAAAAACCTTTTAAGTGCACAGTGTACCCAGACAGCAGTGATAAGTTGGACACAAACACGACCTTGCAAGCAACCAATGAGTCGCAGCAGTAACAGGGTCAGAGGAGTCAGGGATGTGTGCCTGACACACAAAGCCAGGAGGAAATGCTGATTCAGTTTACTGAAATATCAGACTTTGTTGTCACTCATTTCATTTTCTTTTTACACATTGAAATGTTTGCTTTTTATGTGATCAGAGGCATTTATTTTGAAAATGTTTTGATGGATTTTTTGGCTGCTTCTCCTCAGGTCACGCTCACCTGACGGACTTCAACATAGCAACGATAATAAAGAATGGAGAGAGAGCCACGGCCTTAGCTGGAACCAAGCCCTACATGGGTAATCACTGCCATCTTGTAATCATGTCTGATTGCTTTGTGTAAATATAATAAGTATCATTACGGGACCTAAATAGATTTTAACTTTTTACTTTTTTACATTTTTACACAAATATCTGTACCTTTTACTGCTTACATTTTAAAAACAGTTTTTTGCATTATTGCACCTCTTCCCAGTGACTTCTTTTAACTAATTTCTTAAAACTAATTTGAATAGACTTGCCTTTCTGTAATCTCGTCTTCATACTCTATTCTAACTATTTCATTTTATTTGTTATTTTCATTTTATTTTTATCACTTCTATTCTGCTCTTATTATTGTGTTGTGGTATTCATCATTTTTATATTTAATTACATTTTGTGTATCACAGCTATGCTTTATCTGTCAAAGCACTTTTTAAACTCTTTTTTTTAAAAGCTGCTAGATAAATAAATTATTATTATTCCCAACATCATGACCGGTAAAAACATTTAAAAATGAATAGTCTGATAGGAAAGAAGGTTCTCTAAATGTGCCTTCAGAAAAGTTGATTTTTAAAAACAGTTTCCTGACATTAGGTAACAACCTCAGTAAGGTGTGACTTATTAATATTAGGCATGTGACAAGCTTGTAGTAGATACACTGTTCAAATTAAATACTTTGATAGGCACTAGTGTGAAAGCTTGTGTGTATTTGTGAAAAGGTGAGGCAAAAAATGCTAAAATGTTCCATCTCGTCTTGTGATTACATCGCCTGGTTGAGGGAAAAAACCTTTCCGGTTGACATTTTGCACAGGAACACTTGCTCTTCCACCATATGCACAGGCAGTGGTTTGGGCAGTGAATTACTCTCCGTTTGTGCTTTCAGCCCCAGAGATCTTCCAGTCTTTTGTAAGTGGAGGGACGGGTTACGCCTTTGAAGTGGACTGGTGGTCACTAGGGGTGACAGCATTCGAAGTGCTCCGTGGATGGGTAAGGCATGATGTGAATTCTGGTTTTTATGTTATTAGGCTGCAAGGCTGAGCTTGAATCCATTCATCCACTCCTCTTTCTCTTCCTTATTTTTGTCATCCTGTTTCCAAACCAGAGGCCCTATGACATCCATGCCAGTAACTCAGTGGAGTCCCTGATTCAGCTCTTCAGTACAGTCAGTGTCCAGTACAGCCCAGCCTGGCCCAAGGACCTGGTTTCCCTCTTGAGGAAGGTGAGCTGGACACATGTGGACATCATTTGCTACCAGATCTTTCATTTAAATAGTTGGATTCTATCATGAAATGAATCATTGCAAATACATGTAGAGGTCTGTTAGATTATGGAGAACCACATTTTTTACTTCAGTTGCTATATTTTTGCACCTAGCACCTTCTTGATTTGTGTTTATTGTGCGGTCAAAATGTTATGATCTGTATTCATTAGATATACGTTCAATCTGACGAATGTTGTTGTGGCTAAATGAGACAATTTTATGGACGAGTCAACCAGTTGATTGACGCGAAAATAATCAACTATTTTGATAATATATAATTTAAATCAGTTTTTAAGGAAAAATCCAAACTTCAAAATAAAATAATCATGTTTTGAAAAACCTGAACATGCTTAAAATATATAACAAATAAGAAATGAATGAAAGAATGAAGGAATGTAGATGCAAATTGCAGTATATCTAATTTAATTAGTGTCTGGTTACATTTTTCAAAGTCAAATCTAAGTAAATTGAACCCTGACCCCTCTGCCTGGACACAGATTATCGTCCCTGGAAAGAGGAGCAGAGGGGAAGGAGATCAGGGGAGATAGAGGTGATATTGGGGTACATATTGAGGTAAAAAAGCACTGAAGCCACAGGAACAGAGGATGCAGGTACTGTAAGGGGGACTGGAGCCGGAGGGGGGGTAGGATAAGCCGAGACCCTCAGGGCAAAGGAGAAGAAAAGCGACAGATGGGAATCTGAAGGATGGCAGCACAGAAACACAGCAAGTGGGTGAGAGAAGAGACAGTGTGTGTGTGTGTGTGTGTGTGTGTGTGTGTGTGTGTGTCAGCCGACATATTCCTGCTGATATTCATCATAACAAGTAATTGAACCTCACATTGAGGCTCAAAATATTCTTGTCTCATAAGAGAAAATCTGCCAGTTTGATGAGATCATTTGCATCAAATAGAGAAAAACACTTTCCTTGAATCATTTTTTTCCTGTAGTAATAATCTACCTTATTCTGCTTTGTGTCAACATGTTGTCATCAGAATCAAGTGAAACTGTGCTGGAAACAAATGATCTCACCCCCTGAGGCAGTATTTTTGTAGTCATTTTAAGCTTTTTAGAGTGAGTATGAAAAACCGTGACTTGTTAAACAGGTTTTTCTTTTTTTTTGGCAGAGTGTAAGTGTGAGTATGAGTGCGTGCATGTGCTGTGGGTCTGAGTGAGTGTTCTGGACGCAGCGATGGTCTCTTCCGCTCTGCTGCTGATCGATTACTATGTCTGGACTCCACAGAGACAGACCTAACAGGCCCTGCAGGGGGAAACTGAATCAACCTGTGACCAAAAGAAAGAAACCAAAGCGCACGGAGAGAGAGTTAACATGACAACAGAAAGCCACATCCCTTTATAATTACCAATGTTTACCCTGAGGAGAAACATGAAACAGATGCTGTTCCATTAAAAGCACAACTGTACCAGCAACCAGGTTTTATTTACTCTCTGGACTAAATGATTCCGCTCATGTGGGGCGTTCATCTGTCTTGTTCGGTGCAACAATTTTGATACAAACCTGATGGGTGACTGATTTGATGAACAGTGCCCCCTGTTGGTTGCTACCTCAGTAAGGGCTTGGATGTATCTGGTATTCCTGTTGAAGAGTTTGGTGGCAACATGATTATACAGATATTAAATAAATAAAGTAATTGTGGAATAAATAATGACATGAATAAATTCTGTATGATAAATAAATGAATACAATAATACCATACCATTACCAATAATAACCAAGACCTTAAAAACACTTATGAAATGCTTCCCATTATTCTGAACAGGATTTGACTTCATTTTTATCTAATTATAGAATCAGAAATTAATTTTCCAAAAGTCTGTTTTTTATGTCATAAATTACATTTTACCCAGTCACACTTTTTATTTCATAATGTCACTTTTGTGCCTTCTGCCTTAGACTGCATAATTGAAAATGGTATCTTGGAAGTCCTGACTGTGCTGGTTCCCAGATAAAACAAAAATGAGCAAATATGTGGAGAGTGGGTGGAGCTGAGGCGGAGTTAATGAAGTCTAATTACTGAAAACAGCCGCCTATGACGGCACCCACCTGTCACTCACAGTGGACATGTCCTTAATTATACATAACTTTAATCCTTAATATCATTTAAATGGATGAGTTGTATAAAGATTCACCCCCTTACTGTTGTCATGAACGTGAACATTAGCAGCACCAGCAGGTAACTGGTTATATAACTGTGGTTGCAACTGGAGCTAGCTTTGATGCTAATAATCCAAGCTCACAGCCCAGCTACGTAGTTAGCCGACTAGATAAGAAGTGTGGAATATATAAAAGTTAAGCCTACTTATTGTGTGTAACTAACATGTTATGTTTAATTACAACAGCATCCTTAAATTGGTTGAGTCAGAACTATGTTGACACCATTGCTGCGCTAGCCACGTAAATTAAAAATTGGTGGAAGTTGTTGAGCCTGCTATCTTATGTGAGGCAGCAGGGATATAATATTTATATAATTTGTTGATGTGATTATTTCATAATGTCTTTTGATTTATTTTTTAATATTGAACACTTTGGGGCTCCATATTTAAATTGTGCTTGCTCAGAAACAATAAAACCTTCAACCTCATATGAAGAACAATGAAACAGATTGCCGGTCCTACAGATTATACGGTTTATATAGTTTTTATATTTATAACATGTAAAACTGTACTGCTTTGTTTGTAGACGGTAAACAGATTATCCATAGATTATGTATGCGACAGTTCATGAACATGGCCTCATCCAAACCTTAACCACAGTGGTGGAATATCAGAAAACAGTTGTATAATCTCAACTAATAAGTAGGAATGTAAAGATTTTTGTCTAAGAAATAATGGAATCCTTTTCAGTCGTAATTTATCTTTGATCTCATTTAATCGAGAGAAAATCATATCGTGAATTGTATCTAATTGTGAGTTGAGTGTATCGTTACATCCCTACCAAATGTTACAAATACTACAAAACTGTCTGTAGGTGGACTGTCCAGATAAAGTCTTGATGGATTGTTTTTGAAAAGAAACAATATGGCAGTATTACCATCAAGACATCTGAGTTCATGGAGTGCCTATAGTTGAAAAGTGGAAGTTTTTATGGATAGTTTCAGGGAAGCCAGGAAAGACTGCAGATTTAACAGAATATTTTTGGCTCCTTGTTATGTTCACCTCACCTAAACCAGCCACACACACACACACACACACACTTGCTACACACACACTAGCTACACATGGTTTTTGTTTAAAACTGCAGAGTAAAATGGAAAGAAACCTCCAAATTCATTTCTATTTTTCACCCACGATTTGTCGAGTTTATTTCACCTCCCGGAGAGAAGAGCCGTGCTGTGAGCGAGGAGGGAAGTTGTGAAGGTGATATTGCGATTCAGAAGGTGACATGATGTAGGTGACATTACTGTGTGTGTGTTTGTGTGTGTCCCTTCCTTCCAGCTACTGACAGTGAACCCAGAGCATCGTTTCTCCGGCCTGTCTGAGATGCAGACATCTCCCTACCTCGCTGACGTCAACTGGGACGCTGTGTACGAGAAGAAGATGGAGGCCGGATTTGTTCCTAATGTCAGTGTCCCTAATGTCAGATATTAACACACACACACACACACACAAATGCATACAATAAAGCCTTAAAAGCACACACAGGCACTCCTTCGTGTTTGCTGATCGTAATGAGCATATGTAGCAGCTAAATAATGCAAAGGAAACTGAATGCAGCTTCTTCTCGGTATTTCACTATGGAGTGCGTACACGTGGACTCACAGTGCATTATCGTGTGCGTGTGAGTGCATTCACGTGTGTTATTCAGTGCGTTCAGTCCAGTGTGCACTCTGCGGCCCTGTGTGCTCACCGCAGCTGATTTACGATCCTGTGTTTGTGTTTCTAATTATCTCGTGGTGCGTCTCCCTCCTGCAGAAAGGTCGCCTCCACTGCGACCCCACCTTTGAGCTGGAGGAGATGATCCTGGAGTCGCGCCCCCTTCACAAGAAGAAGAAGAGGCTGGCCAAGAACCGCTCTCGAGACAACAGCAAGGATTCGCAGTCTGTGAGTGGCCACGTCATCTGCACGAGCACATAATAACAGTGCCTACCTGTAACGAGGGCTGGGTGATAGGGCCTGAAAATACCATAATATTCTCCTTAAAAACAACCTACAAAACCATCTGTATCACATCAGTAAAGTCTTATAACTGCAGCCCATTCAATGCATAAAAATAACAGTAGAGAACAGGTGATAAACTGTAAAAAGTGAACACAATAACTGCAGGAAGTTTGTGTGAAATTAACAGTTTGGATGAATTTTGGGCGGATTATTTCCTGTAATTATATATCAGAAATTAGTTTTACTGATATTTTAAAGAGGTTTATATACAATTATCTCTTAATATGCTTCTTTTTTGACAAATTCAGTGTTTTCTTCTCTCTGGTGCTTGTTCTATTAGCTCTATCTGCAAGTTTTTTAATGTAGGGCGATGAGATATAGGCCTACTGTGTATATTTTTTAAGTTTTCCTTCATGCATTAAAATCAAGAAGGCCTCATAACCCCCTCTGAAGCTCTGGCGAGCCCTAGTGGTTGTCAACCACTGATATAAACGACTTATTCTGAGGTAACAAAAACATAATGATTCCTATATCCAGATGATTATACACTAATGAATACATACCTATAAATATTTTATTTATATATTTCTGCTAATAGCTCCTCTTAAATGTTACACACTGGACCTTTAAAACCTAAATTCCAATCAATCGATTTATCGCTTGGCTCTCTCTGAAACTCGACTCCTCCTCCTCTGTGCGTACATGTTTGTGTGTCTCTTAAAGGAATATTGAAAAAGACAGGGCCACATTCCTCAGATTATCTAATAATCCACACCATCTTTCATATTTTATCTCGGGATACAAGAGATAAAACACTGAAACGCTGCGTAACCCCAGCATTAAAAGCAGTATGATCTGTTGAGGAGGAGGATTTAGGAGCTGCGTGGATGAAGGTGGAATTCAAGATGTCACTGCATCTGTTAAAAGGGCTTTATTCTCTTTGATGGTAGACGGCTATTTTTAGCTTTTTTCCACATTTAAAAGGGTTATTTTCAATTGTACAGCGCTGTGTGTGCAGTGTTTCCCTGTTAATCTGATCTTTGTAGCCTTGTGCAGATCAGATTAGTGTTATTTTACACCAACACACACACGTCTGAGCAAATTATAACCTGCCGCATGGTACTAGTACTACTGCATACACAGTGAGGCAGGGCCCGTCTTGGATAACAATGCAGCTCAGGTTTACCCCGGTCTCCGCTCTGTCAGTTCCCGTCAAAACTGTATATTTTTAGATTGGAGGTGAGGCAAATCCCAGCATCTTTTTTTTTCTCCTGTTGTGAATGATCTGTTCTCAGCTCAACACACAAATGAATAACACTGTGCTAGTGAACATAAAGAGAGACTTACTGTACAAGCATGCGCAGGCACCCTGTAAGCATGCTGATTAGCTGTATCTGTTGAGATCATATAACAAATAATCTCTCCTTCGCTCTCATACTGTATATTTCAGTCTATACTGAACAGAGGGAAATAAGATTATACAGCAGGATATTATACCAGGGAAAAATTATTATACCAATGCAAAAAGGACTTTGAAATAAGGAATAGTTTGACATACTGCTGTCACCATATCAGATTTTATTTGATTTATTATCACAATATGTATAGAAAAATAGAAAAAAAATGCTATTAGTCAAACAATAGACATATTTAACTTGTATTATGTGTTTTGTCTCCTTTTAGGCAAATAAATTAAACTCAACAGAAATACTGAGCCCATTGTTGTGTATTTAATCCACCACATAATTATAATTTGTACTTGACAGTATGTTGAAAGAAAATTAAAAATAAGATTGCTTTTATGTAACAGTGTGGATAATAGAAGTTTATGTCTGTCTGTTCTTTTACTGTAATTAACATGTTTTACATCATAATCCTTGTTTCTTGATCTTTTGGCTGATATCAGTGGCATAATTCTGGAATATTTACAGTAATGTTTATTTATTTTAACTTTCCCTGAGAAACCAATAAATTAAACTAAATATATATTTAATTCCATTAATTAAAAAAAAAAAACTGTTACACTGGCAACCAGCAAACTATAATATCTAATGCTATTGTCATATTTGTAGTATTAACACAATAGCAGTATTTTAAAGTAGTAAAGTAAGTAAAGATGTTTGTTAAAGCTGTACAGACACCAAAGTTCACGCAGTTCACTATCACACCGCAGGCAAAAGTGACTCAAATCTTTGCTCATATGTGACTCAGATCAGAACATCACACACTGAATTTGATCTTTTCAGTTCTGATTTGAGCCGCTTTCATATGTGGTTAAAATCAGAAAATCAGGTTTTATCAGAAATCATGTGCCTTTGTACACATTAAAGTAAAAAGACAGCGAGATATCATGTTGAAATTTATAAGCTTAAGAAGTTCTGGTATGCTGATTTTTTTATTACCCTTGGACTTTTCCCGTTGTTTTCAGTCTTTATGCTAAGCTAAGCTAACCGGATGTTGGCTCCAGCCACATATTTACATAAAGACTTAGTTTCCATCTTCTCATCTAACTCTCAGAAAGAAAGCGAATTAATGTATTTCCAAAAATGTCAAACTATTCCTTTAAGTTACTCATCAAGCACAAAAAAATTGCCTGTATTAGCTTCTGACATTTTATAGTTTAAAACAACCCGGGGGTCACAAAAGGCTCTTGATATTAAGGGGTGTAAGAAAAATTTAAACAGTAGACTTATATCTCAGTATTGTGTTCATTTCTGTGAAGAAAACTAAATTAAATTGTTATTTCTGACATTTAGATTAACTCTGTAGATCTTTAGAGAGCCTTCACTCTCTGATAAACAACCTCGTCCTGGATCAGAAAACTGTGCAGTTTAAACAACCAAAGAGTTGACAGAACAATGAGAAGAAAACACTGAATTTGTCAAAAAAGAAAACCTTTTAATACATAATACAGACAGAGAATGTAAAAAAAAAACCTGATCTCTGATCAAAATTCATACAAATCGCTTGTTTCACACAAACTTCCAGTACATGTCAGTCTAGTCTACAAGATTAATCAATAATGGAAGTAATGATTAGTTTCAGCCCTAACGGAACAATCAATCAAGGGGAAAAGTACAACAACAAAAGAATTACATAACAGACTACACATTAAAGATTTATATTTTTTTAGTAGAAGTTATAACATCATTAATACATGAGAGAGCTTGGACCTGTGCTGTATATACAGTCTCTTTGTCTCTTCTGCCTTGTTACGTTTGATTGAGAGATTCTTTACCACAGACAGGAGATATCCTCTCTGTGTTTATGAGAAACAGCCTGTTCCCATCAGACAGTCATCATGACATCAGTGTTATTAACGTCAGTGTGTGTGTGTGTGTGTCTCTCTTGGTTTGTCACGTGTTTGTCACGTGCGTTATCAGCGCTGATCAGCGTGTGCAAGGAGTGTGTATACCTTGAACAATAGCAGAGGGTTATGAGACTTGGTTGCCCGTATGTGTGTGCGTGCTTGTGTGTGCTCATACTGCGTTATTACCGAGATTATTAAATTATGAAGCCTTCACTGCTGTTGTCATGGCCTCAAGTGCTTTCGGAAATATGAGCTTCTATTTTCGTCTCAGGCCAAACATCCAATTTGAGGAGGGCTCACAAACAATTCATGACTTGTTTAAAAAGAGCAACGGAGGATAAAAAAAGGAGACATTTTCCCCTCAGACGTCACGCAGTTGACTTGATTGGAGTCGACGTAAAGTTTGATCTGTAGCTCCTAATGATGATAACGAGGTTGATGTTGATGTGGGAGGTGATGGTGACGTTTTGTCTGTCGACTGCCCGCAGGAGAATGACTACCTACAGGAGTGCCTTGAAGTGGTGCAGCAAGAGTTCATGATCTTCAACCGTGAGAAGTAAGAGAACACAAGAGCAGCAGACCATCCATAACACGGGCTAAAAGCAGAGTTTTCTGTTCAGTCATTCCACAGCGAGGCAGTGAGAGAAAGCTATCATCCAGCTGGAACAAAACATATTACCTAGCTCTAATGTGGCTTTATTTGAGACCAACAAATGCTCTCAAGTGTCTTTGTGAGTGCAAAAAAACAAGGTCATCACAGATGTGTGAAGGCTGTAATATTAACTGTCTCATTGCGTTAGTATTGGAATTTGTTCCTCTTTGCTTTCCGTGACTGTAAGTCAAGTCAAGGCAACATAGTGACTCTTTGTATTTGCTCTTAAAGGACAATTCTGGCTGTTAGAAGCCATCGCTTATAATAATGCTGTCCTCACCAAAGTAAATGCTGAGATCTTCTAATCTAATAGGTCAAACTGGGCAGGAAACGCAACTGTTCTATTAATCCTTAATGTTTTAAACAAACCAAAAGTGTCCACACTAATCCAGGTAAAGAGATATAATAACTGGAAAATTGGATTTATTATTTTTAGTGCATGCTCTGTGAACGAGTGATGAAGGGTGACGGAGGTTCAACAGGCGGTTTTCTGCCTGTGATTGGTCTGCTCAGCCTCGTGGAAGTGATATCTGACAATTCTTCATCGTATAAACAACACACAATATTCACTGAAGCGAGTAATTTGGTGTTTTCAAAGCGTTTCTGTGAAGCTGAGACGGATTCCGCATTCTGTTGGCTTTCAGAGGCGACGTTAGATATTAACAGCTCACCTCCCGTCCTGAGACCGTGTGAAGACGGGGGTTCAGTCCCTTTGTCAGCGGGACCCTCTCATAAAAGCCGGCGGGATTTCATGTTTATGATGGATGAGCTGCATAAGCACGAGGCTCCACGAGCCGCGAGATGAGAGACGCACTTCAGATGAGACAGAAGCTTATTAAAATGATATTTCACCTTATTAAAATGATTTTAATGCCAGATTACTAAATTACTGACTTACATATACAGAGAAGAACTGTCAGATATCTACAAGGCAGATCACAGGTTGAAATAAAAGTGACATATATCGTCACATCTTAAGTCAGCAAAACTTTAGCTAGCATGGGCAAAGTTTATGGGAGCAATAGAAAGTAGTTTAGATCAGAGTTATACCAGGAAGTAGAAATTAAGTTTGTAGGTAGGCAGTTTGCGTTAAGTTTGGGTCACCTGTCTGTCAGGGTTCCCATGCAAGGCTAGTTTTCCAGTCGTGAAAACACAAAATGTTTTTAGCCCCTCATTCAAATCGCCTACATAAACGTAAGGGAATATTTGTTTGAACTTTGTTGATTTGTTACCAGATCTCAGCCATTACTTTGGGAAAGACAGTGTTATCATAACTGCTATAAATAAGTAAACACACTCCAAATGTTCAAATTTATGCTTTTATTGTGAAGAACTGAAGCACCAGTGCTGTGCAGAATCACTGAGGGAGATAAGGAAAGTTTAAAAACTTGTATCAGCTACAGTATGTGAGGCTAATGCTCATTTATGTCCACGTTAAAACCTTAGAGCATGCGGTGTATCTTGATAAAGTCACTGCTATATTCAGCTTAGAGGAGAGGATTTCATGACAGCCAAGCCTCTTTAATGACTGAAGGCTTTTTAAGAGCCGGCCCTGCTGTGGCTAAATATTAAGCATCTGTTGTATGTGTCAGGACAATATATACAGTACATCATAAATAAAGACTATGAGGTTCATATATCTTTGAATATGTGTCCTCTCTGCAACGTATGGGGAGGAATATTGGTTCAGTGCTGCTCTAAATTATTGCCTCATTTATTATTAACCAGGTCCTGCCACTGCAGCGTTACTGAAATCCTTCTGTTTGGCAAGTGTCTTATTATACCCTATTGCTCTAGTTAATGGCAATCTACTTCTATTTATAATGGAGGACATAATATCTAGAATTATGCAGAGCAGAGATGAGTACTATATAATAGACTCATTACGTTGAACTAGTAGCTGTTCCTTTCAGCGTTTGTGTTTCATTTCACTGCAAATGTCCTCACAAGGATGGAAAAGTGCTGAAGAAAGCTTTCCAGAAGGGGTTAAAGGTTGAAACTATTATTAGGTAATTAGCATGATAAATAAATGTGTTTCTCTGTTTCAGGTTGAAAAGGCGTCAGGAGGAGGGTCAGTCAGAGGCGGGGGGTGATGATGCCAGCGGGGACGGGGATGGAGAGGCCGAAGCTGGGGGCACTGACGACGATGCACCCGAACCAGAGCCAGAACCTGAGCCGGAGCCCGAGTCCTCCTCCAAGCTGAGCATGTGCGGCTCGGTCTGCTCCTCCCCCGGCAGCTGCTAGCGCCACCTCGCCTCACACTGACGATCACAAGGTCTCTCTCTGGCCGCTGCAGTGTTTGTGCCATGCCAATAGATACGTTCTCCCCTCTCTCCTCTGTTGTAGCCAGGAGCGGAGGTCACGCACAGCAGGTTCGACTTGACGCACAGCAGGACCCAAAATGGCTCCCTCTATTTTTTCCTCCTCTTCCTCCTATTTTTATTTTTTTTCTCTGTAGCATCCTTCCGGTAAGGCATGAATGAAGCAGACCCCCCTCCCCAGAGAGTCCCCGCCTACTGTACCCGTCTGCCCTAGAGTAAGCTCTAACTTCTATGCAATGTTACAGTATAGCATGACAAAATAAGGTATCACTTACTATGAGGTGTTCACGAGCAGAAAGCATGACGACATCCGGAGCAATAGCAGTCCACGGTTTTTGGAGGGTTGGTGGGGTTTTTTGGGGGTTTTGGTGGAGACGCATTCTCAGCCTTCCTGTTCCAAAATCTGACGGGGACGACTGAATTATTCAGCACACGCGGGCTCTCCGTTTATGTTATTGCCTGTGTCTTCAGTTCACTCTTCCCCTCAGCCTCTTTCATCTTACGTATGTGCCCTAAATTTGGAGCAATTTTCTCCCGGAGCACCTTCCTCGTGTTGCAACACCTTTCCGAGACACGTGTACAGTGCGTGTTCATGGCTGTTTCGTGCAGTCGGCCAAGAAATGCGTGGCCGGTCTCGTGTTGTAAACCTGTTTAAAAGTGGTGCCTGTTGATGATAATCAGTATTTGTTAATCACATCGTAGCCATTATAAGTCAAACTGCTAGCTTGAAGTGTTAGCCAACTATTCTTTTTTTTTCTCCAAGCGTTTTCTTTAGGATGATAAGGTACTGTAATTTATGGGGAGTCAGTACAGCAATCAGAATGAAAGGTTTCTGCTTGTCACTGTGTCTGTAATGATTACCAAGATTTAGTATTTTAGCCCTGCACCATGGTCTGACTCTCAGAGAGCATTCAGAAACTCCGCTCCGGGGAATAAACACTAATCACATCTTTTAGAAAGCTCTGTTTACTTCACTAGACACCATCATCTCTTTAAGTGCTCGGTTAGTATAAAGCTCATCCCCCTGTAGAACTTGTTTTTGGGCTGTACTTAAATGTGTAGCTGTGCCCTGTTGGTACTTCAAATTGTATAGATGAGCTAGTCTATTACTGTCATAGTGATAGTGGTACATTTTAAGGTGGCACCATTAATCTCAGTCTGAACACCTGGGAACATGTAGCAACGGTCAACCTTAAAACCCTAAGGCCTAATAAAATGAAAACCATGTAAATAGCATACAGTGTAGGTAAATAAACTCACCACAGTTTTATGTGGGACTGCGAACTCGACATATAAACTAAAGGAAGAGCTGTGTGAAGCTTCATACTGCTTCATTCTGCTCTTCTTTCCAAGTGTGCAGGCACAACTTGTAGGCAAAATATGCCAAAGCTTTTCTACCATTTGCATAACCATTTCTAAGGAACTTTGAGTGTGTGAATGTATGTGTCTTTTTTCCCAGTATAACATAAAGTCAGTGTTCCTTCTGCAAGTGAAAATACTATCATTTATACAATCATATTGTGATTATGTATAAAGTATCTATTTCAGGTAAGGGAGGGGACCTTAAAGTTATAGTTGGACATTTTGAGAAATACGTCAATTTGCGGTCTTTACTAGAATTAAATGAGAAGGTCGATATCTCCCTTATGTGTGCGTTAAGTAATTCAAATATTACCACGACCCCCCTAAAGGTCACTAATTATTATGTTGTATCTAGTCTAACACAAACAGTACTTTATGCTCTATTTGCCAAACAACAGCCAGACATCCGTCATGGATGGAGAAAATATGGAGACAGGCTCACACCTGGTTATTTGCTATAAAACCACAAATTATATATATTTTTTGCTTAAGAGGTGTGGTGGGTGGATACTGAACTGTTCCAGGAGACTCTCGAGGAACTGCAAGGCGCTGGTGACATAACAGACAGCCAGAGGCATCGTTATGCCACATTTACATAGTGTTCTTACTCGCTGGGATACACATATTATTAAACCTTACCACATAAGTTACTCTATGATTTCTGTATTACTATTCTAGTTTGTTCTTCAGTCTTAAATATGAGGGGTGCCCTGTGAAAGACTGGTCAAAGATCCGATACATCGTTATTTAAGTAAGATGACAACAAACTTCTGTATAAGAGTCATTTCAGAGCATAGTGTCAGTCAGGAATCACCTGTCCTGCCACTATGTCACTATGGCTAAAATTTACCTAGCTGTTCATGGTCAGTAAACCATTAACAGCTCCAAAACTTAAACAGACTTACTGGAGCTTGAAGTCAGTAATGAGTAAGGTAATAATTACTTGGGTGTGTTGGGCTAGTTGCTCAAAAAATTAAATTTATTACTCATTGGTTGTTAATCTTTTCAAAAGTGATATTATTTCTTTACTTATTACTCCCTGCCAATAACTTTTTTTGCTAATTGTGTCCCTTCTCGCCAAAATTTAGGCTTACAATAATTAAAATCCAGTTTTGTTTGTTAAAATCCAAGTAATACCGACTTTAATAATTACTTACACTACTAATTACTGGTGAAAGTAATATTATTACTGGTAATGTCTTACTACCCAACACTGCTAGCTCAGCTGCCTCTTGTATGTTGTAGCGGTCCCTGGAGAGTCTCCCAGCTGTTTCCCTCTGCATCCAGTCTTTATGCTAAGCTAGGCTAATCGCCTCCCGGCTGCAGCTTCATACGTAGCACACAGACATGAGAACGGTGTAAATTTTCTCATCTCACTCTCACAAAGAAAGCAAATAAGAGTATTTCCCAAAATGTTGAACTACGTCTTTAAACACTATACATTATGATTAGATTAAGAAGCTTCTTTAAAGGGATATAAAGTGGCATCTTCCAAGTCCGCTGAAATATATGATGAATTTAATAGTCTCAAGCCCTGTGCTTCTTTTGCATGTACCTTTACAGTATAAGCTTGTTTTTTGCCAAAGCCTGGAGCTTGAGCCTTACTGGCTGATTTGTGCATGTACAAGCTTTTGGTAATAGCATACCTCAGTGCTCACCTGATTATAGACACAAGTCCAAACCAGAGTATAACTGGCCTGCATAAATGTTTCTGGACAGTGAGTTTTGTGAACTTTAAAACTGTACAAAATCATATAATTCCAGTGTTGATGGCATGATATTTTTAGATGATATGCAGTACCTTTTGGCATCCCGTAGATTGTCTTAACGCTTTGGTCAAGTATACAGGCTCGTACCCTTGCTGGATGAGTGGAATGAGGTCAGCCGTTGTGTGTGACTCTCTGTTGTGGGTTAAGTGTTGCGTTATTGTCTGTGCAGCAAAGGAAGAATATTCAGAACTGGGGCAGGTTTTCACTTCACCCCAGCACAGAATTTGCTGCATTATTAAAACACTGAATGTCTCCATTTGTGGATAAGAAAGCTTGGTTATTTCTCATTAAACCACTCTACACACCATCAGAATCAACACAGGCCTGAAGCGGATGTGTAATTTATGTTAATCATCTGTAAATGGATAATGATATTTATTTTTGACGGTTAATTTAGGTGTAGCTTCTCTCAGAGTTACAATACTAATCTACAGTTTTTGGCACTTGTTCTTCAATATCAGTGATCATTCCTAATTGGACCGTGCTTGCAAACCCTCCTGACATGTTTCTTTATGTGTTAATGTTCTTGGATGCCTTTAGGTGTTTTTTAAAAAAAAAGGCATTGTGCTAGTGTTTGACCAGCAACAGCATGTCTCCTATTCAAACGTTTTCCGATGGATGCCCTCGCGGCGTACCATACTGTAGATGTCTTAACTCTGTGGATACAGTTTGAAACTCAGTGCCCTGTTGAGAAAACAAACTCAAGAAGAAGAAACATGTGATTTAATGCCACTCTTTTTCCTCCTTGTGATCCTATTTTGCATAATGTTCTTGTGCTGCAGGATTTTTACGGGGAGTCAGTGAAAAGCCTTGTTACTGTACCAACTGAAACTGCTCCGTGTGTTTAAAAAAATGCTGCTTTAACTGCTTTGATAAAGAAATAAATCTCCTTCCAGTAATCTGCGTCTTTTGTCATTTCTACTCAAATACAGCATCAAAGGCACCTTTTGTGTGCAGACAGTAGAGGGCGACGGAGAGCAGGGGTATGAACTGCCTGAGCAGAGAAATCCAAAGTGAATTCTTCACTGTGAATAGCATTGTAAACATGAGCTGTGCCTCTGTTGACTGCGAGGGGGAAGAATATGTTAGTGGAAAAGAGATGAGGCTGTCACAGGATTAGTAAGAGTAAATAATGCAGACTGGCTTTGGCCTTGTGCCTCCTCTTTAAGATAAAAACTTAATTTTGATATAAAGGAAACAATGTATGCATACACACATTAAAAAAGTCATGGGAACAGATTTAAGCCTGCAAAGTCCAAGAGTCTTGAGTTCCTCCTCCGTGGGTTTCTGGTAAGTTCAAGACTGGCCCCTCTGCTCCGGGTCTTCCAGGATATCCACGGTTGGCTTTCCTGTGTTGTCCAACAGGGGGCGCCACTTCGGGGCCTCAATGGCATCCAGAAGAGCGGCCAGCTCTACCTCCAAATTCTGCACTGTGTCCTCCACTTTCTGCAGGAGACAGGAGACACAGTTGTGTGGTTGACATATGAATAATACATTAATAAGTTGTACTATGAATAATAGAATCATCACTCATGAATAAATCAATCACTTATTTATATGAATAATACAGTCGCCCAAAACTTGCTAGTAAAGTAAGGTCAGAGTAAGTGTGGGGTTTGTCGGATGAGATGAATGTGGAGTAACTCATCAGCTTTTTGGAAGAATCATGGGGTTTTTGCACAGTGACTGACTGTGGATGTGGCAGTGAGCCACAGCTTTGTCGACATCTTATCCCTGAAAGGAAATGCTGAGGATTTTTTGGCTGCCTCAGATGGAGAGAAAGCTGACATTTAATAATAAAGCTGATAACACATCCCAAATCCTGATGGTTTCCAACCATTCAGAGCTCAGAATGCGAGTTAGGGTTTGGAAACAGCACCTTCTCCACTACATCCAGGCGGTTGTGGAGGTTTGTGTGCTCTTGACAGGCACTTGAACGCACCGCTCGGGGCTCAGGTCCTGAAAACAAAAAAAAAGATGCATATGTGAGTGGATTTACAGAGTATGATGTAAGCTTCTAAGCAAACAACTCACTTAAAACCATAAAAAGCCTAAAAGCTATTGATCACGGTGCTTTAACACTTACTGATTTCATTTTATCTCCACATTTAAAGAGGTGTAAGGAACTGACAGCAAACATAGATTCACACACCAAGCAAACCTAGTTAGAAGCAATCCAAGGATATAAACTCCAAGTTAGATTCTTGAATGAGAAGATTGATTGATGACTGTATTTTAAACAGCAGCTAGTTATCTTAGCATAACATAGCCTGAATGGGTATAGTAGGAAACAATTCGTCTGGCAGCACTTTTAAAGAGCAGTAACACATTTGTCTCTGTATCTGTTTTAATCTGTGTGCTGGTAGGCAGGTTTTGTTACCTTTGGACAGAACCAGGCAAACTGTTTACTTCTGTTTCCACTCTTAATGCTAAGCTAACCAGCTGCTGGTTGTGGCTTTACGCTTAGCATAGTTGAGTTTGGTATCAATCTTCTCATCTAACTCTCAGCAAGACAGAAAGAAAAGAAACATTTCCCAAAATATCATACTATTCTTGAAGTGAAGACTTCAGAGTTATAATACAAAGCAAATGTGAGAAATAAATAACGAAAATCTATTATCTATATCAGTTGTCAAATTAATTAAGACTTAAAATCTAACATGAAATTTTTTTTTTCTTTTTGGATCATTTTGCTTGTTTCCAATTCAAATAATCATTTTGTTTTAACTCAATAGCAGGAGAGTGGTCTGCCTTTCTCATCTGAAGTCTAAAATGAGAATAAAAGCACTCAACACATTTAGGAAGACCATAATGCTCGTGGTGTGAAGTCACTTCAGTTGGATGGGGAGGGCCACATTGTTCCTGCTGTTTTCCCCTCACAGTTATGTTTCCAATTATCTCCTTCTCTTTGAAGCCGACATATTTGAGGGGAAGCCTGCATTCTCTCGCAACCCTCTGCTTCCATTTTCTAACACCTTCTTAGTGGCTGCAGGCCAGGCTCCCATTGATAGCCTTTTAGAAATGAGAGAACTTCTCATTCACTTGCTGACGGCTGGCAGCGGCGCTGTCGCTGTTATTTAGATGAAAGATTCGGAGTGTGTGTGGACAGCTTGTCTGAGAGTGTGTGTCGAACATTAATGATACTAAGGCAGTTTTAGGTTGCCTCTGCAGAGCGGGTTTTGTCAATATCATTCCTCTCATACTGTGGCTGCTTGCCAATGACCAAACAAGGATGTGCTTTCACCTTTTCTCCTGGAATAATATAGTTTGGATCCCATTCTTTGAAAAAAATACTTCAGGTATTTGAAGGTAATGAGCTGGGAACTTCCAGTGAGCCAGAATACCTTGAACTCTACAAACTAACCCCAGACTGTTTTCTTGAGGTTAGAATCAGCTCTTCAGATCATTTCAGGGTCATTTCCAACCTTTTTATACCCTTTCTGTTACTCATTGTGTCTTCTTTCTCCAGGGTTCAGTGTCCTTATTGGAAAACATGTGCACACTTTTGGAAATATTAACTTAAAACGCCAGGCATTCAGTCTCCTGTCAAATAAACACAGACTGTGGCTTTGTTCAGGTTTCCGTCTTCTCAGCCAGGGTTGGGAGGGTTACTTTAAAAATGCCATTCAATACAAGTACTTGTTCAAATATGTAGTACGTAACCTAATCTGAGATTCGCAGTATTAAAGTAATGTAACTTTATAATACTTTTACATTCTTCAACACTAAATATATCCAAATAAAGAGAAATTAAATATCGGGGCCTCAGAAAAGGAAGATGAGGGAAATTGATAAAAATATAATTAAATCTAATTGTATACAGTGCTGTCAATGCGTTTTTAAAGACATGTTGTTTGTCAACGTTTGGGAACCCCTGTTCTACAAGACAACAGCAAATTGTGACCTTAAAAAATAAAATGGAAACCAAGATTTTTTGCCTCTCCTTAGTGTATTTCTAAAGAAATAGGCAGTCGCCTATAGACAGCTGGAGGGTAGAACTGTTTTGTGATGTTGTTCCCCTTTTCTGCTTTAAAGACAAAATAATGTAACATTTCCACCCAGTGCAAGCATTTTTTTTTATCACTTTTTATCCCATAATAATGAATTGGCAACTGTAATCCAGCTAATAATCCCCATGTTTACTAAATGTAACTGTAATCTGATTACGTCTTTTTTTTCTGTAACTGTGATGGATTACAGTTACCCTTTTTCCTGATTATGAACTCTGTTAAGGTAATCTGTTACTCTCCGAGCCTGATCTTAATTTACAGCAGCAATTTCTGCATCTGGAATGAATTAAAACATTTATTTGTTTTTCATCTTTTGCTGATTGTATACGAATTGTTTTTCTTCTGATCTCTCGCTGCAAACAGCATCCATCCTTAAGTTACCTTTAAGTCTTCCTTAAACAATAAAGGCTGCCAGAAATGATTCCCATATCTTATTCTGCACATTGTTCTCCCATGCACAGCCATGCTTCAGCATCAGGCTGCCTTGATTTTACAGAGATATCCCATGGAAACATTTTACAAGCTCCATTACGCCGACCGGAGGGGTGCCAAGTTGAGTACATGCAGGAAACGGGCCAAGAAAGAGCGATAGATGGATGGGAAGTACAAGAAGTTCATTAGATTTTCTCACTGAGCAGACAAAGCAGATGTCTGCCCTGGTGCGTCTTCTATCCATGATGGAGGTTTTGTTGAGCTGACTCGGGCATGACGACTTGGCAAACCTCACCTGACAGATGAATTATCAGCAGTCTGCTAAAGACATGAAGATTTCCTACACAGGATCTGGAGCAAGAAGTCATTAAAGTGGTGGTTTTTGTTGTTGCGTTTCAAAAGCAACCACAATCTTCAGCTGTAACAGAATGTGCTGCTGGTTTTACAATCAGCAAAAAAAAAAAAAAAAAATCCCCCCAAACCACAGCTGTGCTTCTATCTAAGTGTCAGTGTGTGTTTGTGTGATCAATGTGTACACAGCACAGACTGCTCTTCAGGAGGGGAAAACTTGCAACCGAGAGCTGCACGCTGATGCTCATGATGAATGCTGTTATGAGAAAGAAGAAGTGTGCTGTGCGCAATAAAGCCGGGATGCGATTAATGTGGCTGATGCAAAACTGGCTGGCTAAAATGTAATATTATAACAGCAAGAAAGCATTTTGTCCCTGTTTGTTTTGGCTTTTGCTGTTGTCCAGACTTTTTTCCCCCTGTCAGAACTGTTCCAGAAGGTTGAGAAATCACGCAGTAACCCCCCACACTCCAAGGAAACCCAGGAAAAGCAAACACAGATATGATGATCTAACTCGCTGACTGACTCCACCCGAGGACAAAGGTGAATGTTCGCGCGTGTGTGTGCAGTTTTTTTTCCGGTCTGTGTGTTTGTGCACTGACATAGCTCTCTACAGGAGAGAGGGAGTTCAGTCGAGTGCAAAATTGAGTTGAGTTCTTGAGTTTACAACAACAGTGTTCATACAAACCAAGCTCTGGCCTGAGAGACACCCCCATAGGAAACATGAATGTGGTTTAAAAGGGCCTTCAATGAAGATGTGTGTGCTACAAACCCGCCTGAATATGAGAAAAAAAAAGCAATAGATAGCAAATCCACTCCGGACACTAAAAATGCTTTCACCCATTTCATGTTAACTGATATTAAAATACTTTCATTTCAACTGCTTTCAGAGCGTAGATTTAGATATATAGATTTTAACCTGTTTTCCAGTGAGGACACTTTTCCCAATAGAGTGCTAAATCCTGCCCTTTACTGAGATAGTGACACTTAAACCATGAAAAACCCATTAAACAACTATATTCCACGCACATTAACCTCTTTTTATATTCTAAATTTAAAGCTTTGTGTGTTTGTAAGTGACTGTGTGTGCTTTCTGGTTGCATAAGGGGAATGTTCATTTTGTTGTTTGCTTCCTGCAGTTGGCCATTCTTGCAGTATGAAGTCAGTGTAATTCACACTTTAGACCGTCACTCACAGATTTGGCTCTGGAGGATTGGCCCACATTTTTGTGAGTTTCCATTGGATTTCAGTAACACTGGTAAACAAAGCTAAACACACTGGTGAGGAGCCGGCAGATGATCATAATGGATGAAGGAAAGAGTGATTGTCTGAAACTTTGCTGCTGACAGAATATTAGATTAAGTGTAGCCAGAGCTGCGGAGAAATTAGTAACAGATGTGCAGGCGATCCCTGAGCGCACACACGGACTCGCATGTATGTACGAGCATGATGTCAGTTCAGCTTAATGTGTGTTCATCCAGCCGTCAGCTACACACACTTACACACATCTGTGAAGTACAGAAAATGTATTGTACCATGCAACAAAGACATAATGTAGACTGCAAAAATGGGATCTCAACAAAGTAAAAAAAAAGCCTTGTTTCTGGGAAAAGAGTCTTATTTAAGGAAAAATAATCTTGTTAAGCATGTTGTGCATTCGAAAAGTAATCTGGTTTTAAGAAAATCTGTCTAAGTTTGTCTTAATAAGACAAACCAGCTAATATTGAGCTTGATTTAACCAGTTACATCAAACGGCTTGCATAATATCCCAGCAGAGAAGAGTAAGAGCACTCGCTCAGCTTCTCAGTTTAAGAGAAAGTCGTCTCGTCCCGGTGTTGGAAATGAAACAGTTTTAGTTTTAGTAAAAAATGCTTTAAGACAAAGTCATTTATTTTCATTATGCTGTTTGAAGAAAGTCTATCTTTAAGTTTTCTTTGCTTGCAATAATCACAACTTGCTTAAATATTTGACATTTGCTTCTAGTTTTAAGGCCCATTTCAGTTTTTCAGTGGCTAATTTTTATGCTAGTTTCAAGAACTCAAGCCAAGCAAAGCAGAAACACAAGAAAATTTGATTATATTTCTGAATATTTAGCTTTTTGCAGTGTCTGGAATCGGCTTTATAAGATGTCTTCCTGTCCGACCTGTGACCCCTCTGACCTCCCTCCTCCACTCACCACACTCAGCCTCATCCCTTACCTGCTGCAGTGCAACCAATCAGAAGGAAGATGAGTCCAACGGAGGAGACGGAGGGGCGGGTCATGGTGAAACCTGGCGAGCAGCTGGAGACGAAGAGTGAAGAGCGTGTGTGGGGAAAAGACAGGGTGGGAGAATGAGAGAGAGAGAGAGAGAGAGAGAGAGAACAAATCTCCTCTAATTCAGAATCAGACTGGAAACAAAAAGACTTTTACTCCTCCACAACTCTTCCTCTCTCTCTTTGCCCCTGCGTTCGCTCTCTTGCTCTCTAATCCTTTCCTGGTTGACTTGGTTGCGCCCAGTTTCCTAATGAAAACATTATATGCAGAACAAAAAGCTCAGTCTCTGGGAATGGGCGGGAGGGATGTACTGGGGAGGGGACTCAGTTCAGCCACAGACTGACTGGCTTTTAAAGACTTTTACTTTTACAGTTTTACGTGTGGTTTAGGTGCTGTGTTATTTGTGGTCACTGGCATTTTCTAATTCACATTAAAGGTAATAATACATTTTTTTTGTTGTATCCTTTATGAAGAAAACATTCTATAAATAACATTTCAGACCCTATTCCAGGACTTACACACACACACACACACATACACACACACACACACACACTCTTGATTAATGCTGTGATGCATCAGAGGTTACGTCTAACCCTACTCAAGGTAAGATTGAAGTAGGCAACCTCTTATTTGTTTTTGTTTCATTATTTAAGCTGTTCCCTATTTCCCCCAGATACAATCGATTAAAAAAAGCAAAAGGACTCAAGGCTGCCAAGCTCTTTCTGGGAAAATCAGTCAGTGTTTCCGTTCAGTGGGAAGTCAGAGAAATCAAAATCAATTCAGCAGCAGAGAATGCCCTTTATAATCGCATTGATTGGTTCCTGTTATTCTCACTGAATTGACTTCTCTCTCTCTCTCCCGCTCTGCTTGTGACTCACACACCTTCCCACACACACAAACACACAGCCAAGACTGTTACGTAGCAAACATGGTTATCTTCATTAAGCCAGACTGTCTTCAGCCTCGTGCTCTGCTCTCTTGTCTGGCCCCGTTAAGCAGATCTACAGGTTAAAGCAAAACTGGAGGAAAAGTGAGTGAAGGGATCAAAGGAGGGAGGAGAGTCAGGAGACATTTCTGTCTGTCAGTAGATTAAAAAACGGAGATACAGGCCAAGGACACAAGAGAAGAAACGGTTATATTCCAAGAATTACTGATTTATAGTTTTACCAAAGTCACTGGAAACTTGTATATCCTCTTAGGAGAAAAAAAAAGATTAAAAATCACATGAATCACACAAAGCAAGTAAAAGAAGATTTGTTTCATACTGTCTGAATGAATCTGACACCTTAAACATCACACAACAAAGAACCACAAGTTTTTCTTTCACTTTATGAATTATTCAGAAAACAATGACTTATGTATTCACTTATTTGTTCATTTAACAGGGACAGCAGTGTGCATTCATAAACACTGCTGTAAACCCTAAATGAGTTAGCCTTGGATTGGAAATCCTTGGACAGACAATAGACAGTCTAAAAGAATATAATATGTATTTCGTATTGCAAGTTGTTTTTTTATATTTTATACTTTTAGTTATTATTTTTATTTTATTTACTTTAGTATAAAGTTATATACTTTAGTTTAAAAAACAAACCAATAAAGGAGCATACTGAGGTTTAATGGATAGATATATGTGCTTGTGTATATAATAAATACATTTTAATATTAAAACTTAAAAAGTAATTAAAATAGTCAGAGCAATAATAAAAGTATTACAAAATAATTGTCCTAATTAAAACATGCAAAGCCATAAACAAATAATAATAATAAAATACAAAGATATAAATTTAATAGGTGGTATTAATGTTACACAATTTTTATGATTTACATGTATTTGTCCTAAAATGTATTCCATAAAATATAAATGACATTACAGACAATCATCAATTAAGTCTACAACCTGTTTTTATTAAGACAATTTCTCTAACAGCATATGGCTCCTTTTACAATAAGCCCCATATTATTGGGGTCCTAAAATGTTTATGATCCCAGTGTTGACAGGTGTTATGTGGACTAGCTCAGAGCTCAGAATAGATATAGAAACAATAATATTTCAAATGTATTTGTTTTTGATGAGAAGGTCTCCCATAAAAAGTATTCTAACGGCGTGTTATTAAATGTATGCCAAAGTTCATCTTGTGACCCTTCGTTCAGGGAGTGAATGTCAGTCTCGCCAGCAGACACACGGTGAAGCACAGAGAGTCTACATGAGCACAGAGCCAGAGGATCTTGGCAACCAGTCGACCGACGTCACGCTGATCTGTGGTGTGACAGACCAGCTGGAGGCGGGGTCACCTTCTCGCCGTCTATTCCTGTCCAGTGCTGTCTATACGTCTGTTTTGTTCAACGTAATGCCTGGAGGTCGGTAATGATGACCACATGTCCTCACAAGCATGGGAAGATGAAGGAGACCCTCGATGCTACAGCCTTCATCATTTTCAAACAAACAGCTGAACACGGAGCTCACTGAACACTTGTTGTTGCCAAGAAGTGAGCTCAGCTCTCTGTTCCTGTCTGGCCCCTGGCACACGTCTTCCTGACACTTTTTAAGAAGCTAAATCTTAATTGGGCGAGGTGTGTGTGTTTGGAGTCCATCAAAGGAAACAGAGCTCCACCTTCTACTTTTAAAACTACTCATTAGCTGACCTTTGGTTTCCCTTGAATGTGTCCTAATCCTATTGTAAAGTCGCTGTACTTAAACAAACTATCAGCAGGGGGGGGTGTCGCTGGCCACCGCCATTATCCTGACATCGTCCACTCTTTTCAGAGGCTAGAGTGACTTTAGAGTCCAGCAAGTAAGAGTAAGAGCGCTATCACAGGCCCTTCATTCCAACAGCAGTCAGACGCTTTAACAGCAGTGACAGTTATCACTGTTTCTGCACCATTTTATACCTGGACTGTCCATTTATACATATATATATCATTTCTTATGTGCACATTGTTAAAATTATATTATACCTGTACTGTATATTGATAGCCTACATTACCTTGAAATTACACTGCTGTATATACTTTTATTGTAGAGTGCAGTTATATTTATTTCCACACCGTGTAGATTTTGTTTATTTTCTAATCTATTGTGTTGTGTTGTATCTGGAGCTGCTGTAGCAAGTGAATCTTACCTTATCTTATCTTAAGATCCTGGTATCATATAAAACTGAATGTCATGTCATGCTAGCATGTCAGGAAGGTGGCTAAATAATGCTCCAAAAAATGGATCACTTTAACCTCTGACCTCAAGATATCTGAATGAAAATAGGTTATGTCGGTACCCACACATATCCCCTTTGCAGACATGACCACTTAAAGCTAATCCCATGCCGTTGTAGGCAAAAACCATGCAGTTCATTGCATGTGGTGTATTTAGCATACTGGGGTCCATAGAGTTAGAATTGCATCAATTAGGAATGACTGGAAAGCTGAGACACATTCTTCATGCCACCCCCGCAGTGCCCCACTTGTGCCAACAGAGTCAAAAAAGTGTGGACACGCCCCTACCATCAGCAGCTGTACTCTAAGGTCTGTCATATGGTCAGCTTACTGGTAGATACAGCAACTGGGAAAGATAAATCTTTCAGCTATTCAAAGTTGGTATCACTTCTCTTTCCACAGTCTGCACATTTGTAACTTCTGTAGACAAAACTATAATCCTCATCAGTCAGTTTAATGGACCAATTGGGGACATTTTCTATGCTTTAATAACTTCAGCTGTCTGACTAACTTCACTTACTTTATGTCCCAAAAAGTTATGTTAGAAAGCATGAAGCTCTCTTCTGCCACATAAAGTTGTTATTAAACAATAGACCTTTTTCACAGCAGCTATATTTACTACTATTTAGTTGGGTAAACACAGACATTACCCTATGATACTAATTAAGGTTACCAGGTAACATTCAAGTCAAACAGAGTGAGGGTGCTGCTATTGTGCATGTTGGCTATAATTACAGAACTTTAACTAGTGTCATTGATAACACTTATCTTTACCCTTCATGTCAGAAATGTTCATAGGGACACATAATGCAGACCAAATTACGTTTTCTATTCACACAATAGGGAAATGTTGTTAAATAACAAACCTGGCAAGATACTGATCAGTAAAATGTTCACTGACGATGTATTTCATGTGTTTTCCACCAAAAAAAGCAATCTTGCCACACTATCCACTCTTAGGGGAGGTTGTCACCACAACGTAATTAAGAAAACAATTCAGTCATATAGTACATATATAACTTGCTATACATATATATGAGATTATTGTTTGGAGCAGTTAGCTTAAGTTAACTTTCCATCATTAGGTGCAGGATGTGAGAACTAGTTTGTAAGATGTGTCGTCCGACCATTATAGTTGTTCCTGGAAGGCGGATGGAGAAGCACATTTTCACAGACTCCCCTGGAAGACATTCATAGTGTTGCACTCGGTTGTTTGCATAAAAAGTGACAGAAATAGTTGTGTGAAGAATGAAAAAGAGAGCTGAGAGAAGTTCAAACCCTGGTTCCTCTTTCACCACCACACAGCTGACCAATCCCAGCATGCAGTGGCATTTAGTAATTGAAAAGGGTTCAGTATGCTTCAAATGAACTAGGCTGCACTGTATAACGTCTAAGGGTAAAATGTTTATACCTGTTGTGAATGGATACACTCAAAGGACGTGCAAACTGCATGCTGTCATTGTGGGGGAATCGTACAAAAGGGAAACAACACACACTTACAGACTCAGGCAGGCATTTGTCATGTTGCACTTAGCAGTACACACAGAAAGTGATGGAAGTTGTGAACAGACTATACTTATATTTATAGATTATATTAACGCCGAATTGACCAGAAGACTGTTGACAAATTATGTACTTTATCTCGTGTTTCTAGAGTTACTTGTTGTTATAAACATGCTAGAAATTGTTAAAATCTGATATTTCTTAAATGGAGTTTGGTGCAGGGAGCTTTTAGTTGAGTTCAAACTGCTAATATATATACTTTTAAACGTTTTATCACCACTACAGAAACACTAGGTCACTGCAGTTTATATGATAATGTCGTCCGACATTAACTGCTGTTAGTTATTAGTTGGATTAATGGTTTAATAACGTGTGTATTGATTACTGATGCTGGCTGATCAGGTTAATTATCAACCTTTTTTAGCTGTTTCTAACGGCAGTGTGCTGTAATGTGCTTGTTATTAATGGTGTTGTTGATTAATTACTCAGCATGTGCTTTTCTGCTTACCATAAAGGAACAGGTCAGAACTACATGCTTTAATCTATTGACTAAAATTCCGATTTAAGATCATATTTTTAGATCTGTATGGAACCAGCAGATTCTGTTAACGATATAACACAAACACTACTCTTCTAACCTCTTAGTTTCCTTCGCTGTGACTGACACTTTACTTGACACCGAGGCAGTTATCTGCACCCATCTCACACTCAGACTTCGCTCAGATTTACCTCCAAATACAGTTGGAGCCATGCTCAAGGGAGTATCTGATTATACACATTACTGTAGTGATCGGAGTTGGAACACACTCATTATCCTTTCCAGTGGACGCTGGCCACACTGTCGCTCCTCACTTCAGATTTGAGGGACACGTTGGACATCCGATCAGAGCTGAATAGGATCTGGTCTGGCTGCTGAGCGCTGGCAGCAGCCAATTTACCTCCCCTCAACTCTCCCTAAAGTCTCTGATCTGTCTGCCTGGCAGTCTGTCTGTCTCTACAGTTGTACTACATGTACTGCTCGATTGTGCTGTTCAAATGTATCCAGGGAAGCCTTGCTCCTCTGCAGCAACATTCTGCCTCAGTTTCTTACAGATGTGAGCACTGACATTTGACAGCTAAACAGAAAACCCTCTGCTGTTGCCCTCTGTGTTCCTCAGAGAGAGCAGTTTGAGGTGAAATGCAATGCACCTGGATTCTCAATATGTAAAATAGAGATGTGAGAGTTACATGTGGTTCATTTTCTCTGATTTTTCTGGTACAATTATCAGCAATTTTCATACCTGCATCTCTACCTTTTAAGGCACCCGCCACCCCACTTTCTTTCATTTCTGATCCTCCATCCATAGTCAGCTCCTCTATGTGGTTTAGCCTTCAGATCACTGCTCCCTAGATAAACTCTAAGTCTGCATCTATCTCCTTAGACCGTCTGATTAGTACTACGTCATATAAAGGGGAAGTAATCCCGGTCTGGGCCCAGGAATAGAGGCATTGCAGAGGCACCGTGCATGTGTCCCTGGGTAATCCGTTCTTAAATAGCCCCTGGGAAGGGAAAGAGGGAGGGAGCTGGGGGCAGGGGACGTTACGCCGTGGGGGCAGCTCCAGTCAGTGTCCTCTTATCCCTCGGACACACCACAGCAGCCGGAGGAGGAGAGGGACTCGGATGCAGAGACTTGTTGGACTGTAGGAGGACAGCGCTTCGACCAGGATGAACTTTGCTGCCCAGTTATTCTACTCAAGCTACCTGAGCGAGCGACTTGAGCGTTTGTACTCACCCAGGCTCGCACTTAAAGACAGCGAGGAGAATGACCCCTTCTGGCAGAGGTGGGATATTACAACATGTAGCCCCTTGGAGCCTCCAGACCTAGTCTCTCCCAACCAGCTCAGCCCCATAGTGACAGATTTACCCTCTGAGGTAGCTCCTACCTCCACAGCCTTGATCCCTCTTTCTTCGGTTACTTCCATTCCTCCTCCTCCTCCTCCTCCTCCTCCTCCTCATCCACTTTCTTTGCAGCCTTCCCTGACAAACACACCCTCAAATCTCCAATCCCTTCCTCCTCACCTCCAAAGGAAATCAACACAACCACCCACTTGTCTTCCAGATCCATGTTTGGCTCCGGCACCCCCCAAATCAAGGTTTCATGAACTACCTTCCAGCAATCTTCCTCTTCAGATGGCTCACCCCAAACCTTCCCCTGCTCCATCCAGGTCCCCAGCAGAAACAGCCTCCTCCTCTTCCACCTCCCAGTCCTCCCCTTCCTCCTCTTCCTCCTCTCGTGCTCCTTGTAGAGGAGAGCGACACCCAACCTTCCAAACCCTGGTAGACTTGCTTCTTCGCATGGTCCTCTACGTTATTCTCCTCTTCTTCCCCAGGTAATGCTCACAGATTTAGAGAAAGACAGAGAGAAATCAGAGTGCAATACGATCAAAGAGGTAGGCTGTTCATGAATTATTTTAGTGTAATACTTTACCTCTGTTTTGTGCAAAATTAAATTACATCATACCCAGGGTCAAAAAGGGGTTGCAAGTATTTTGGGACTGTTTGGTGCTACTTGCGATACCGAAAACAAACCAGACAAAGAATGCAAGAAAGTTTTTAAACTGGGCCTGGATGACACAAAGATGCAGAATTGCATTTACGATGATGCAGCGTCAACAATCAGGGTCATATAGTGCTCGGAGACTTCCTTTCTTTCTCTTCCCAAATGAAAAGTAGCAAGAGGAGGCAGTACAGCAGCCAGTTAGGGCATTTAGTCTTTAAAAGGACATTAAGAAGCTGAGATAGTGTGATGATCAAAGCCTTGTGGGCTGAAATGTCTCCTTCACATTTTGCTTTGTCCTCTCTTTTTCTGTTTTCTTTCTACCATTTTGAATTAAAAGAACCTATTTCTACCATCTCAGCTCTTCATCTCCTCTTTTGAGGAGGCTTTTTGAGGCTTGATACTGGCTGCCGTGTTGCTCTTTCCCCCTCTTTGATGTTGCTTTTGAACTCTGCTTTTGAACCAAAGCACCCTAATCACAGGTGCAGCCCTGGACTCTATTCACAGCCGCGCTGAGAGCACACTGTGTGCCTGAATAATGGACTGGATGTGACTGACAAGTGGGGCAGAGGGTAGTAATGCAACCCGAGGACCAGGTGAAAGGTCATGGCATTGTTTATGTCAAATCATTGTGATAAAAATAGAGGGATGTTCTCGGCAGAGTGCTGGCACTTGTTTGGGAGAACTGCTCCACCTGGTGGCCTCTGGTGTTTTAACACACTAAAAGCTCACTAAAGCAGCTTAATCACTGGATTATTTTTCTTATTTTACTCTAGTTGAGTTACTCAGCTCTATTTGGACTCAGCAAAAACCCACCAATCTGTCAGGTTAGAAAAAAAAACAAATGCAAAACTTACTATTAACCCTTTGTGATCTGCTTTAGTAGCTATGTGACAGGGTTAATCTCCAAAGGGTGTAATCCTATTATTGTGTTTATACTGTGTAAAGGGCCTCCTCATTAACCACTTGCTTATGAAAAAACATCCACAATCGAGTCTGATGTTTAATCCAGTTTTGTGCGATGTCATTTGCGAAATGAAAGCAGATTCTGTAGATTCAGGAAGAAATTGAACTATTTAAATGAATTGTATTGTTTTATCATATTCAATGCCCATTTACTGAGCTGCTATCAATCAAACTTACCTTCCTTTGGCTCTGAATTACCACTTTAATCGTTTGTGTGTCTCCTAAAAAGAAGAGCTGAATGACCCAATGAATCATAAGTTGACTTATAGATGTAATCTGTCACAGTGAGTGGAAGTTGGGCTGACATGAAAGGTGAATCAATTCATCTTGGACTGAAGGATTGTGTGTGTGTGTGTGTGGGGGGGGGGGGGTACATTCACGTACAGTGCCTTCATAACTGGGTTGAGGGAGGTCTTTCCAATTGTAATTTAATCAGTTCAGGAATTTTCTTCCAAACTGAAAAAATTGTAATACAGTCACCCACACACACGTCTCAAATGTTAACAGGACTGGTGCGTAATCAAGGTTGTGTGTGTGGGATGTTTGTGGGACGTTAACAGATGGTTTTCTCAGGACTGCGTACTGATGACACTCGACGCTATCATTTTTCTCAGCAAAGACTTTGACTGATATTTGCTGGAGGCCACACATAGACATCCGTCCCAGACTCTCATTTGTAAATTGACAGACTTGATTTTGCTCTTTCTCTGTCTCTCTGCCCCGCCTGAGGTCTGCTTTAACTTTGTCTTAATGTTTTATCAAACAGTAAAAGATTGAGTTAGAATTAAATGATGGGAAGTTTAATGTCTCTCAATTATCGGTTCTGATTTGTTCCAAAAGACCCTCTACTAAGTCATAGGAAATAAGTTATTTTATACCATAAACCTTTAATTAAAAGCAGGGTCCCAATTAGAGGCAAGTCTCCTTTACTAGCCTGGTGTGGCTACATGTTTAGACAAATAAAAGCAGGTCTCAATTAGAGGCCTGGTTTAGTTTTATAGAAGATCTTTGGATGTATAAAACCTCTTAAAACCCACCAGGTCACCTGCTTGAGTGAGTTCTAAGCTGCTTCGATCACCTACACAAATATAAATCTTTAAACTTTTGTCAATATGCTTCACATCGTTAGATCATTCAGATTCTCAACAGTTCAGTTGTTCAGTAAATCACCAAAGTTTCAAATGATGAAATGAATGATAGAAAGATTGATTGAAAGATGATAAGAAAGGTTCTGCATCATAAAACTTTTGTGATTTCTTCTGAATCGAGTCTATGTAGTTATTGTAGGTAAGTTCCATATTTTTCACACCATCCATGTTTGTAAATTGTTCATCATCTTGGATTAATTTCCGTAGTTCAAAATTAATCTAAATTTCCTGGATACAGATTAACCTGCTGTGACTTTTTAAAGGTGGCTATATCTTAGCTACCAACAACAATAAAAGTCTGACTCAATAAAACTGCTCATAACGTTTATTGTAATGGAAGTAACACATTAAAACATGTAACAATAGCATTTTGATCCTTTACGGGTCCCTTGTGGTTCCCAGATCTCACTGTGAGAATAAAAGCTTCACAGGATTCAGTCAATAATGTCATTTTACATTACCATCTGTCTGTCTTTCCCAGGGAGGAGTTGCGTCTGGGCCCCAGTCAGCCTGGCTGCTCTTACAAATGCGGCCCCGTCAGTAACGGCACTGTGGGCCGCAGACCCACCCTCATTGAGCCGGAGCGGCTGAAGGACTTTGGTGAGGAGGATCTTCTCAATGGGGATGTGAAGGTCTATGACACCAAGGTGGTGGGGGCGCCTGAGATCATGCTCATGGACCCCCCAAAAACCAGACGCTTCAGCGAGTTCAGGATCGTCGCCAGACCCCAGTACCTCCGCTTTGAGGACATCAGCGCCGCGGCCTTCAGGATCCAGTGCGGGATACAGAAGACACCCTGCACGGTACTCTAGCATATAACAGTCCCAGCCTTTTTACTGAAGGGACCTCTTTTCTATCACTGCGTAAACTGATGAGTGACATACTTTATGGAGTTTGTGTAAAACAAATGATTTGGATGAATTTTGAGCAGATTATGTCCTGTGAATATTTTTTGGAACTTTTTATACAATCATACAGACTTCAATCAATAGACTTCTTCTTTTACAAATGTAGTGTTTTCTTCTCCCTGACACTTGGCCACTGTTTGGTTGTTTTAACTGCGTACTTACATGTTTATCAGAGAGTGAAGACTTTGTGTTCAGGTCTTCAAAGATTAGATCTTAAATAATCATCTAAACTCTGAGATATAGACCCCCTTAAAATCCAGAAGACCTCACGACCCCTAGTAGTAGGGTAGGCGACCACTGGGATATAGCATGACCTTAAATTGTATGAAGTCATGTGGCGGGAACCTCTGACCTCTGCTAGAAGAGCAAACATCATCTCTGTCACTGGACAGACAGCCTTTAACAGTAAGGCTGTGTATTGGCATAAATCTGGCAATACGATATGTATCACGATACAGTCGATATATTGCAATACTGTTAGCAGGCCAATATCTTGTGATTTCTTCTTTGAATTTAATTAAAATACGTATATGATGGGTTAGTTTAAATTAGTTTGTTTATAAAACAACCAGGAAACATGGATTGTATTATATTTTTTAAAGTTGTGTCGCGGGGTCGGAGGGATGGAGGACCTGAAATGGTCCCCGAGTTCATCACAAATAATTACTGAACATTAGAATGAACTCATTTCCATAAATAACCAGAGACATAAAATGGAAACTGCACCTCTAAAAATGAATGTCTCAGTAATCCAATAAATAGAAAACGATCATAAAGGGCTTCAAGGAAATGGACAAATGGGCCCAAATGAATTCTAATGTAATCCAGTACAGCAGCTCTGCCACATATTCTACCTCTACATAGCTCATGCTCAGCTTCGTGTTAATTCAACTTGTAGGTTGTACTTCTAATATTCTTCCTACATGTTATTACACGATGGGGAAAAACATCCTCAATATAAAACAATACAGTAAACATCACTGCAAACTACAATCTCTGTAATAAACATAGTAAACTAACTTATCTTTTTAAAAGTAAATTGTAAGACTGAGCTGTCGTATTGGATTGCATTATATTGTTTTATTCAGGCACCCTCACAGAAAACCTGATTAAATATAGAGACATAAATGAAAATACAGACATAATTCTCATAAAGAATAATTAAGAATGAATAAATATTAAGTAAATAAGCCTACCTTAATATATATATTTAGAAGCAATTAAAGTACACCTATCTAAATACTAATGATGATAAAGTATTAATATAAAGTAATAATTCTTTTATCCATTGTGATTCCTTCCTATAAGTAATTTATAGGTATAGATTATCTATATTAGCACTTGAAGGGGAATAAAGAAAACACACCCACACAATCTGTAAATGCAATATAACTTACCAGCTCACTTTTCTATTCTGTTTAATTCCTCTCTCTATATATTATCACGTCTTCTGTGTCTTGAGTTGCTATTTTCATTCAATATTATGTCAGTTTGCAGTTAGCATTTGTTGCTATAAGAACACGATGCTGTGATCGTTCAAGTTTCCTCGATTACATCAGTTTAAACATCGAGAAGCATGAATCTGTTTTTAATCTCTACAGAAAATGATGATTGGTGAATGAACTTCTAGTTCAGTTCAGGTCACTCACACATAGAGCTGCTCTTAAAATGCTGCTTCCTCTCTGTGTGCAGTACTCCAGACTGTCCAAACAGTACGGGATGGAGATCTACCTGAAGAAGGAGCACCTGCACTACACAGGCTCTGTGAAGGAGAGAGGAGTCCTGTACCTGCTCACCTCCCTCACACAGGTAAAACCAAATAGACTGTATGAACGTAAAATTCACCCCCTGTACAGTTGTCATCAACGCATAAACATGTTTATTTCTGCTGTAAAGTTGAGCGTTTTAATATGAGACCTTTTGGAGACTTCTGGAGCCAGCCTCAAGTGGTCTCAGTTTTTGTTACTTACTTCATTTTCCAGCCACGGAGGTTACCTCTGGGGTAAGACAAGGAGAGGATGATCCCTTCCTGTCTGTCAGATCACAGCTAACATGATCTGTGTGTTCGTGCAGACACACATGTGTTAACTGACCATTACTGACCTGTAGAGACAAAAATAGTCTGAGTGCAGCTTTAATGGACAGTGGCTTGGAAATACGTCCCTTTGCATGTGTATACTGTATGCTTGTCAGTAAGTAAGTCTAATTTAAAAAGGCTAACTTTTCTTCTTGAGTTTCTCATGAATTCTTAAGTTTAAGCTTGTTCCCGGCGAGCTGCTGGAAACATCTTACTTTGATGTGACAGGAAGCATCAAGGATTATGGGAATTGTGGTCTAAATTTTGAGAAACACTGGCTCATATCTGTAGAATATATGGTATGGTAAGCTTAGCGTAAAGCCTGGAAACAGCCTGTTCAAAGGTACGTTAATCCACCTACCAGGAGCTCAGTAATTAACATGTTATATCTTGATTTTATAATCCGTCCATAAATGAGAATTCACCAAGAAATAGTCCCACACACATTTCTTTTCATTGGAAAAATGCAAATTTCAACACAGACATGGATTTTTCATTGACGTCCACTGATGTTTGTCGTGTTGACACATTTTTGATTTATGAATATTTGTCAAAAAACTGTTTATGTCCCCCCAGGAGCAGCAGAGGAAGGGTGTGATTGTGGCCACTGACTGTAACTTCTCCATGGCCGTGGCTCATCATGCAGTCGAGCTGAAGATCCCAGTGTTTGTCATCATGCCGTCGTGCTGCTCCTCGCCTCGCCTCAGGATCTACAGGGACTACGGCGCCATGGTCATCTCCTACGGCAGCACCAGTCACGACTCCCAGAACCACGCCCGCCATCTGGCCAAAGAAAATGGATACCTCTACCTGGAAGAGTCAGTCCCTCTAATACTCACTTTAACATCGAGGTCACAATGCGTCTGTCTGTAATACAACCAGTTATTCAATACAACTATTGTGTAGAAAGGGATAGTAACTTTTTACACAGAATTAGAAAATATATTCTTATTTACAACTTGCTCAAATACTGTTGTGAGTCACTATGTACAATATCAGCAAACCTGTGGTTTCCTGTCATGACATAACAAAATGTAGATTTGGGTTTCTGGCCTCATTTCAGCTCCTTATATGGATAAAGTGAAGTTTTAAAGGGTCAAAACTCCAAAAACAGCCAGGTTTTGAGAAGGAAGGAAGAAAGCATGGAATAAGAATGTGTGTAACGAAGGAAATCCTCTGAAATCTATGAGGTCTGCTGATCATCTGGGCACTGGCCAACCCTGAAATCACACAACACTAGATGACCAAAAGCATCCATTGGCACAGAACCGTGTCATGCTAGCTAGTTAGAAAGGGGAGTTAAATAATGTTTCAAAATTAGGTTAAATGGGGGTAATTGAAAAACTGGCTTGGCCTTTTCTAAAGGGATTGACCTCTGACCTCAAGATATCTGAATGAAAATGGGTTCGATGGGTTCTCCCTTTTGCAGACAGCTCACTTTATGCTAATCCAATGCAGTTTTTTGCATGTGGTATGAGTATTTTTTGTGTGTATTTGAATATATATCTGCAGACTGGGGTGCTGAACAGTATTGGAATTGTATAAACTGGGAATGACTGTAAATCTGAGACACATACTTCATGCCACCTTTGCATAAGTCGGTGCTCCACTTGCCTGGACATGCTCCTGCTCTGGAGACCTTCACTTAATGTGTTCTGTCTTTCTATTTCTCTGATGTCCAGAGATGAAAGTGCAGCGTACCTGGCCGGACTGGGCACTGTGGGCATGGAGATCTATGAGCAAGTGCCCAAACTGGATGCAGTGGTTGTTCCTGCAGCTGGACAGTATGGTCTCCTGGCTGGTACAGCTGCAGCCATCAAACACCTCAACTCGCGGGTTCTCGTCATAGTAAGTTATGTTAATTCACCTTCATCTGTATATCACAGTCAACTACAGTAGCTGTAATGTGGGGGATGAGTCGATTTGTAGCCTCTGTCTCACCTCTTCTCTTGTTAGTGCTGCTTCTTAAAATGAAGCCACATTTCCCATGAACCCTTACTGCTTACTGCATAGATGAGATTGCCTCCTACATCTCCCTAGTGTTGATCCAAGTGTTTTCATTCTGCTCGGATTCCCTTAACAAGATAAATGTATTTGAAGTCTTTTCCCTTGTTCCAGTATCTGCCCACAGCAGAAACTCTGACAGCTTTGGCTGTTTACACACAGACAGCTCCGTGCTTCTGATTTCAATAAGAAATAAATATTCCTGTGTATGATGAAGCAATCAATCAAATTTACTGCCAAGTTTGACCCAGTAGTAATCATTATAAAACGCAAGAGGCTGATTAATGCTTCCAATCTTCCCATAGATTGTATTTATTTGTTTATTTAGAGTCACATTAGCTGCTGTAACAACAACAGAAGTCACTCTCTAGGGTCCACATAATGTATTTATATGCTTCAATGAAAAAAGACACGTGACACATAACAAATGACATCCGTACAAACAGTAAGAGTAAGAAACGACAAAACAAGTAATCAATAAAACAACATACATCCATTAATTACAAACAAATCAGGATGGATAGCTCTCTCCATCAATATCACATCTTTAACACTCAAGTGCTTGTGTGAATAAATAGTCACATTAAATCATGTTTCACAGCTTTCCTGCTAACAAACTCCTCACTACCGTTAGATGGTCCTGCTTTCAACAGAATAATTATACAAATGTTTTATTAATGTTTGTATTGAAGACGTAGAATATGAAACTACAGTACAGGATGCTATATGAGCAGTTTTATTTTGAAATGCAGTCTGTAGAGTGAGTATACAAAAGTAATGACATTAGCCTCAGCTGTTACATGCTACACTGAAATGGCGAGCATTTAAAACATTATACCTGCTAAACACCAGTGTGTTAGCATTGAATTGTTTGCAGGCTGATGTTAGCATTTAGCCTGTAGACCCTTAACTCTTGTATATACATGTGGTAACATGGTGAAAATATACAAATACTATAATCCTGGTCCAGTATGCAACTTCTACAGTGAGATCCACCAGCGCACAAACACTGAGAATAGACTTACAGTGAAGGAGGAGACATCTTGAAAAGGAAACTAACAAGATGCTTTTTTTAAGGATTTTAATATGGGAATTACCCGTTTTTGGCAGAAAAAATACAACAGGCAGACATTATTGTTCCATACAGACTATATGTACAGTATATGTTGTAAGACAAGTCTGGAGAGAATCTTTAAACTAAACAATTTCCACAAATGGACTTTCTTCAACAGGGAATTGAACCAGAAGGTTTCCCTCTGCTGCTACAATCTCTGAAAACTGACGGTCCAATCAAAGACATGCACGGCAACCCCAACAAGAAGCTCTATGGAGGTAAAGTTATTACTCCAGTACAGAACCGCCACGTGAGCGTTGAATAAACCTTCATCGCTGTCTGTACATTCTTCAGTTAGAAGCTCATGTGGCCTTTTAGTTTCTCTCCTGCGGTAACTGAACATATGTCGCTCCTCTGTCTGTTCCAGATCTTATGGAGCGTTCGCTGGGCATTAACACCTTCCAGCTGGCTAAGAAACTAGTAGATAAAGTCATCTCTGTCAGGTATGAATGCTTTTAGATTGAAATCCTTTGTGTGAAGAAATATGGTCTATGTGTTAACATTCAGATTAAGGCTCACTATTATGAGCCCTTTTTACATTTGGCCAAGTACTGGCAGCTGAAATCCAGGTATTCTAATGCAGAAATTGATTATTTTGGACTGAATCTTCTCCGTGGAAATGCTCTCTGTGTTTACTAATTGAGAAATTGAATTGACAAAGCTTTTCTTCACCTCTGCCTCGCAGTGAGGAGGACTCTTTGGTGGCGATGCTGCGGTTTCAGGAGTTTGAACGCTCCACTGTGGACACAGAGGGAGCCATGGGACTGGCTGCCATCTTGGCTGGACAACTACCAGAACTGAGAGGCAAAAAGTGGGTCAGATATGTTAATATTATTGAACCCTACTGAGCCCTATAGGGAAATTCTCATATCTTACCTATATAAAGGTTTAGAAGTCAGAAACAGACAGCAGCGTTGATTTATCGCTTTTAATAGGTGAATATCTTATAATTAAAGGGCCTCTCTTTAAGTCACAGTCATTTTTAAAATGTAGTCCTAGCTGTGAGGGCTGAGACATTTTTCTTCATGCCTGAAAAGCTGACATTTTGGCAATAAAGTGATGTCAGCAGAGCTAATCCGTTTGGCTGCAGATGAAACAAGACTCCTTCTATGCCTCTGTGTGTGTGTGTGTGCTGTAGGGTCGCTGTGGTGGTGAGCAGTGCTAACATGGAGCTGGAGCTGGTGAGGCAGTGCGTGGACCGAGCCCTGGTGCTGGACGATCGGGTCAGTAAGTTCTCCGTGCAGCTGGGAGAATGGCCAGGAGACATGGCTAAGCTGCTGGACGTCCTGTCCAGAGAGGACGTCAGGTAATGGTCCACACCCGTCCATTTAAGGATCTTTTACTCTGTTGTTTCCCGCCGAGGTCCACTCTGTTTTATGTTTAATGTCCCTTGATGCTGCCTTTAATTCTCTCTGTCTTCTCCCTCCCAGGTTGTTGGACGTCTGCCATCGGAGACAAAGTGGAAAGTCAGACCTCTTCAAGGCAAAGGTAGGCGGCTAATCTCTCCTCCTCACCTCATTCTTCTTCCTTATCCTCTTCAATCCGCTCATCTACTTTTCCATCATTGCCATGGAACTTCTGGCTTTAAGTTGGCAGGACACAACTGTGTGACTAAGAGGGCCAAAAATACAAATTAAGTATGATATAGAGATATTTACGCTGTATTTGGAGGCTGTGTATGCAGGAAGAACCTGCACCCACTCTGCCAGAAATAATGGTTTTAACTTTTCTAATAAAGGGCCCTTCGTAAAGTTGTAACTATAATGGCTTTATTATTCATTTAAAATCATAGATCATCCATTGAAGAGAGCAGCTTTTTGGATTACCTGCTTGTAGAAAAGGCTGTAGATAATATGGACCCAAATCCATTTCTAAAGATTATTACTTACAACTGGAAGTTTGATGGTCCAAAACTTTATATTAATGACAGTGCAAGAACAAATATTCAAAGGGGGCACGAGGCTTAGGGGGGCACCAAATTACTAGCAAGTGGCAACTAATATGGGCTAATAGTGACGGTGACTGACAGCGACTCCAAAAGAAGTTCCATCAACATCAACCCTAGGCTGTGAACTTAGTGCTGCTGAGCCGGTCAACCAGGGTGATAATATTCAGCGAACTTCAACTAGCCTGCACCTATGCGTGCTGGAAGTAGGGGTGCTGAAGACCCCCTAAAATCTGAAAGAATGAAAAATAACAATAAAACTCATAGCAACTTTCTTGTTGATAAATTGGCTATACATTATCATGGCCATGTCATGCATTTGGTATTTAGTATGACTTCATTTTACAGACAAAACTTGAATTCCAGCTCAACTTGTGAAACATCACGTAACAACATTTTTAGCTTTACAGTGGATTTCCAATTTACCACCTGAGAAGACTCTAAGGTGCTTTTAAACAAGTGAGCGGGCACAGTGACGCCTGGTGCCCCCTCATGGAGCCGACTCTTATTAATGGCTTTTTAACACCAACAGACTTAATTGCCTATTTAAAAGTGATAAAATGTATTACCAGTATTCATAACTGCATTATTACCAAATAGATAATATAAATACCATTAGTAAAATAGTATATATTATATTAATAAAGACACTAGTAAGTACTCCATATTATAATATTCATTGTAACTATGTAACTTCTGAAAGAAGAAATAAATCATTCTTTCTGTTGCAGATAAAAATGTGAATTTATAAATAATAATACCCTCTTTCAGTTTAATACACTCAGAGGTTTTACTGCTACAGCCTCACTTTGGTCTGGTACGACCATTAGCTTCTGTTTGCTAACGTTAGCAGACTATAGATTGTTGGGTAACTGACGGCACAGACGTTTGCTGACTTTAAGACTTTTAGGGATGCACGATATGATAACCGAACTAAATGTTAGCATTCACATAGTCTCTGTTTTTAAAATCTTACTTTCCTTGAAACAAAAGAATCAAATGCAGAGAGATGAATTACAATTAAATGAAACGTCATGAAGCTTCTTCAGCTTATTGTTTCCCATTAAAGTGTAGAGAGTGTAACATTTATGAGGATCCAATGCCATAAACTGAATATAATATTCACAGGTATGTTTTGATTAGTGT